TCTCATTGGAACTTCTTCCTCAACTCTCAATCTAGACAAGTTATCCGCAACACCATTCTCAATACCTTTCTTGTCTTTAATCTCCAAGTCAAACTCCTGCAGCAGAAGTAACCATCTCAATAGTCTTGGCTTGGCATCTTCCTTAGACAACAGGTATCGCAATGCAGCATGATCCGTGTGAACAATAACCTTAGACCCAACCAGATAGGATCTAAACTTCTCAAAAGCAAACACGATCGCGAGGAGTTCTTTTTCTGTTGTTGCATAATTCACCTGTGCTCCATCAAGAGTACGACTAGCATAGTAAATAACATGCAACTTCTTATCTTTCCGCTGTCCCAGAACAGCACCCACAGCGTAGTCACTGGCATCACACATTACCTCAAAAGGTAACTCCCAATCTGGTGGCTGAACAATAGGAGCACTCACCAAAGAATTCTTGATCGACGTGAATGCCTGCAAACAACTGTCATCAAACTCAAACTTCTGTTCCTTGTAGAGCAACTGTGTGAGAGGTCTAGCAATCTTGGAGAAATCTTTTATGAACCGCCTGTAGAAACCAGCATGTCCCAGAAAACTCCTGATTCCTTTCACAGAATTCGGTGGCTGCATACTCATCATCACCTCAATCTTGGCCTTGTCAACCTCAATACCCTTCTCCGAGATCTTGTTCCCAAGTACAATGCCATCCCTCACCATGAAGTGACATTTCTCCCAGTTTAAGACCAAGTGTTTGTCCTCGCAGCGCTGAAGTACCCTGCACAAGTTAGACAAACAAGTAGCAAAAGACGTGCCATGCACAGAAAAATCATCCATAAAAACCTCCATAAAATCCTCAATCATATCACTAAAGATAGACATCATGCAACGTTGAAACGTGGCAGGGGCATTACATAAACCAAAAGGCATCCTACGATAAGCAAATGTACCATAGGGACAAGTAAAGGTGGTTTTCTCTTGATCATCGGGATGAATCGGGATTTGAAAGAATCCCGAGTACCCGTCAAGAAAGTAGTAATATGGATGGTTTGACAGTCTTTCAAGCATTTGATCAATGAAGGGCAGTGGGAAATGGTCCTTACGGGTTGCAGAGTTAAGTTTTCGGTAATCAATGCACATCCGGTGTCCTGTGACAGTTCTTGTTGGGATTAATTCATTCTTTTCGTTTTTAATCACAGTGACACCACCCTTCTTAGGCACAACATGGACCGGGCTCACCCAAGTACTATCAGAGATAGGATAGATGATACCCGCATCTAGAAGTTTCATTATCTCTTTCTTTACAACATCTCAAAGATTCGGGTTTAACCGTCTCTGATGTTCTACAGAAGTCATTGATTCATCTTCTAGATATATCCTGTACATACATAAAGTGGGAGAGATGCATGTGATATCATCAAGAGAGTAGCCCAAGGCTTTTTTGTACTTTCTTAACTCACATAACAACAGGGCACTCTCCACATTGTTCAGCTCAGCATTAATTATCACAGGGTATGTGGAGTTAGGACCAAGAAACGCGTACCTTAGCCCGGCAGGAAGTGGTTTGAGTTCAATTTTTGGAGCTTTCAGCTCGCTCCAAACATCGCAGTCCTCTGTAGTAGAAACAACCATAGCTCTCTCTACCTCATTCTCTGTAAACTCAGCGACTGCTACCACTTTTGTCATTGGTGAACTAGAATCCAGCATCCTAGCAAACCCAGTAGTTGCCTCTCCAAGGTACCCAAACTCACTCTCTTCCGTAATCAAGGCAATCTGAAGAGGATCCTCGGTGTTCAACTCTTCCAAGAGCTCATCAGCTAGCTCATCCATGATGTCTACCCAAAATGTCTGACCCTCAATGGTGGGTTTAGACATCACTCTCTCCATGTTAAACTCCTGAACAATATCACCAATCTGCACCTTGATTTTACTGCACAATATCCGGTGATCGAGAGTGCTGTCGAGAAAACTGTGTCGTGGTGCTATCTGATCGAGAAATCTGTCTGGTGATCGAGAAAGCTGTCCGATCAAACGGAGAATCCGAAGAAATCTGATCCGACGGCAAAGTCTGTTTTCTCTGAAATTTTCCCATGATCTAGTTATCATCTTGATACTATTTCTAAGGGTTGATTATGAGTTAAGCTTGAAGAATCAAGGGTGTTGCTATCAAGAAGTGTTGAATCAAGATAATGGGAGTTGAGTGGAGTCAAGAACAAGGTTGTGAAGCCATGGATATCCGAGATCGTTGAAGCAAACCTTAAGCCTTCAGCCGAATCTCTGTGAGTCTCGTAGCATGTGATATGGCACATGTTAGGATAGGTTGGGTTGATTGATTAGTTCGTTTAGTTGATTGATTGCTAAGTCTCGGTGATGTGCTTAGGCGTATTGATTGCTCGAGTAATTACCCGAAATATCTAACCGTTTAGTAGTATATTCGAGGTCGATCCACAAGGACCAAAGATACTCTAAGGACTTCCGAGACTCGTTCTTAGCTAAAACTAAAAGGTTTTTTTGTTTGAGTTTTACGAATTGTAAAATGAGAATGCAATTAAATTAAACGATTTAAGTTTCAAGATTTAAAGACATTAGGCATTAGGGTATTTCAGAGATCAATAAACAATGGAAACATGAGACAAGGAATTCAACAATTATGAACCGTTCTTGAACATGAACACAACTTAGACTAATTCTCTTTCAAGACATTAATCACTAAATTCGACTACTCGATTACTAAACTTTCGCATGTAATTTCCTAGTCAAATTCGCATTATCAAACAAGTTCATTTAGTTCACAATGCGTCCTAACTTCAACTTTCGTTGGCTAGAAATACATTGCTCAATCCACATTCTTTCAGGCATTCTATCGAACACTTTTGATGCATAGAAAAACCTAGGATCTACAACAGGGTGATCAATCCTATTCTAGCATTAAGAACATGTGAATCAAAGAACCTAGAGAATAAGAATTCCAAACAACAATTAATCCATTAATCTATCGAATCTCCTAATTAGAACCCTAACACCTAATTAAAAGACTACTCACACATAGCGATTGAAACAAGACAAATAGATGTAAAAGAAAACATGATTGAATTGATAAATAAAGAACAAAGGTTTAGAAATCTTCTCCAAAATGTCAAAAAGGATGAATCTCTAGAATCCCCAAAAAGCTTACAAAGAGAAGTCTCCAAAGTTGCAGAAAAACAACGTCCCTAGAAAAATAGGTTTCTCTGGGTTTTTATACCCAAGTACAGAAAAAGGCAAATAAACCCGGTTAAGGAAAACCGGTCTGGTCGTCGAAAAGGGTGGATCGATCGATCCCCACCTGGGATCGATCGATCCCGAGCTCCTGGAATGAACACGTCTTGACGGATGAGGGTTGGATCGATCGATCCCCTCCTGGGATCGATCGATCCCGAGCTTCTGGTTGATCACTTCTTGACGGACGAGGGTTGGATCGATCGATCCCCTCCTGGGATCGATCGATCCCGAGCTACTGGAACTTTTGGCTTCATCGTCACAATTGGGATCGATCGATCCACGCCTTGGATCGATCGATCCCCAGCTCCTGGTGATCTCTTGTACCGTTTCTCCATTGTTTTAGCTCCGAATAGGCTCAATCACGCACAAGATGCTCCGAATCCAGCTCGAGCACCTATAACCTGCAAAGGACTCAAGATACAACCGAAAAGACGCAAAAGACGGACTTTGATACGATAGATGACTCAAATCACGGACTAAATCAAGACTCGAAACCGTTAAAAACGCAACACATCACGTATCATCGAGCAATTGCTTGATTGTGTGCGTTTAGGTGTGAGGTTGCATGCTAGATTCTCGTTTTATCCTTAGATGATTAACTTGAATCTCCATGCAGGTTTGATTGAACATGGTACCGAATCATGTCCGCGATCCTCGTGATCCGTACATAAATGATTCCGTACTTGTGTGATTATTTGTATTAGATACATGATTCTATGTGTTATATTTAACCATATGTTTCATTGTATCTTGTGTGTTGCATTCTTAGTATGCGGTACTCGTGACTTAATGTCCGGTGCCTTAAGCATATTAAGACTAGGGGTATGTCTGTCCTTCCTCGGCGGCATATCAAGTAAGCCTTGATCCTTAGCTGGTCACTTACATCAAATTGACATAAGACTCGGGACCTAGGCCGAGTAATGCATGACGATGCAGAAGATATCTCTCGTTGTTATCCTTTATAGGTTCAACTTGAGAATTGTTAAGTGATGTTCCGGTTATATTCCTTTGTGGTTATAGCTCGGGTGTTCACGGGTTTGGTGGTTGGAAGGCAGCATATCAGGGCCCATAGGAGTCGTCTAGATAGTTGGTGTCGCATGCATAATTTTATTATCTCATTATACGGACTTGTTCCGTGTAAGCATGCGTCTTGATTGTTTGATTGTTTGTTTGCTTCCGCCCGCATTCTCTGATATATTTGTATATCGTTTATGCTTGATGTTATTGGGATGGGTAAAGCTAATGACTGTTGCAGGGAATCCGAGCTCACTAAGTAATCTTAGATTACTTATGACTCCATTTTGTTTTGCAGGAAACCTTAGTGGGAACCATTAGAGGGATGCTCAGGACGTAGGAAAGCCGGTATAGAGTTGTTGCTTTTGTAAAACTTAGTGAGTTTTATTGTTGTGTCGATTTGAGCATGTTGGCTCACGACACCAATTGTTGATGTTGTTGTTTTGTTTATTTGTTGTAAAACGTTTATATGATATAAAAGGAGTAGTTTCTTATTTTGTGTGTGTTTCACCCGATATTAGTCTTGTCCGGACTAACACAACTCGCGATCACGGTAAGGGTTGAAAAGCCTAAACCGCGGTCGTGAGGGACGGTTCACGCGGATGGTCCGGCTAAGGGTCTGAATTCGTTTGGAACCTCTGTTGGATTGTCTGTGCGAGCTGTCTACGTGACGTCTTCCGGGTCGCCCGTGGCTTGTTTGGCCATAGAGCGGTCCGGGGGCGTTACAGAAGGCAAACCAACAGATGGTACTAGCTTGGAATCTATTATGTCCTTTACAATCCGGATTAAACCCATGTTCAAGAACCCATACAGTATAGCCGACAAGGAAGAAAGAGACAAAGGACGCCAACCACAGTTTCCATGATAAAGGTTTCACTAAACTAACACTGTCTCTCTTTACTGCGTCTGTCATTGGGACGATCAATCCCACACCTGATTTAATAAATGGGAATGTGAAGTCGACGTAAGAGGACCTGTTTGCCAGTACGGTTGTATCTCCCACAATCGCATCATATCTCTGTGACAGAGAAGCAAAGAAAAGTTCACTAAGTTGGTTATAAATGATATTGAGGAATGATTAGTGTGTGATCGTACTCACCCCGAGGTACACTTGGTGGACCATTTCGTTGTAACTACCGGCTGCTTTACCATCGGGTTTTTCAAAAGGAATGAACTCATAAGAGACGTCATAAGGCATTGCTTGAATCACAACCTCAAAAAAATCTATGCAGAAACCTGTGACTACCGTTGAATTGGTGATAGGATCCCTTGTGACCTTCACGAGATCAGTGAAACCGATTTTTTTAGGAACTCCAATGTGCAACTTCTTCCCATTAGTCGGGATCTCCCATCCTTTCGGAACAGAATCAGCCTCTCCAGGCCATATTTTCTGTTTAAGATGATCTTGCCAAGTAGATAAAGCGCTCATGCTACTTGGTTGTTGATCTAGTTGCTTCACAAGACCATTTCCCTCCGTCCAGAATCCTATTGTCTTTTCTCCGGTTCCAATCATATTGACAATCTCAAACACCGATGGTTGCAGTTGCCCGTTGACAAAACGGAAGTCTCCTCCAAGTCCTCTGAACTGAACTTTTGAGAGCGTTTCGAGAAGCTTTGGACCGAATTGAGATAAACCAAGAGCTTCAAGTTCAGAAACATTCCTCCCCGTATCCACCACATTACTGAAAGTCATGTTATTTGTTCCAGCTTCTTCAATGGCTATCTCCAATACGGTGGTAGCATCATAAGCCCACAATCCATAGACAGTCAGCTCCAACCGTGGGAATATCTTCCTCCATCGAGATCTAAACTTGTCAAGATCTTGGGATTTTTGAATATAAGTTTTTATACCCAATACCCCATCCATAGCCTCAATACCCGTCTCATTTATCGAACTTAAGACATCGGTAACTCCATTGGTAAGGATCCAGACATATCCTGCTTTCATCAAACCAATCTCCTTTGCTTTAATGAAGAATCTTGAGGCTAGAGATGAGTACATGTGGACAATGAACACTCTTGTGGGCCTGTTCATCATCTTAAGAAGCTCCACAGAGATTTCAGTATCTGTGGCATTGAGAGCGATAACGGATCTATAAGGTATCCGGACATTAATATCTTGTAATGCATCGGTGAGACGTGGCATTATACCTTCTCCAAAGGTGTTGTCGATGTAAACTGGCACAACTTCTCTCCACCCGAACAATTTGATGAAGGCTTTTATGGCTTCTACTTGAGAGGAGTCTTCGTACGTAGCACGAAAGAAGTATGGACTACGAAGGGAATTAAGAAATGGGCTTGTTGCAGAAAAGGAAACAATAGGAACCTGAGATTTTTGGCCAATCTCGATCAAGAAATGAGCTTGCATAGATGTCCATGGCCCCAAAATTGCTTTCACTTGCTTGTTCTTTATTAGATCAAGAGCTGTGACAATGTCAAAAACAAAGAAAATTAGGATTGAGTATATCAAACGTGTACAAACTAAAAAGTATATTACACACAGTAACATTAACATTAACATGATGTATCCAAACGAAATATGTATAGAGATAAAGGGAGAGAAGAATAGAAGGTACCTGCAATTGCGGCACCTACAACGTCTTTTTTGGAGTCACCAACGTTGACGACAAGCCTTGTCTGAAACTGGGGACGAGAAGAGTAGAAATCAGCAAGAGACATGTTGATGCAGAGCATGGCAGCCTCCGAGTATGAAGTACCGACATCTGTTACAACACCGACATTGACTTGGGTTTTGCCGTTGTTCTGTCCTCTGCTGAGTTCTAGGCAGAAGAAGAAGAAGAGAAAGACGCAGAAGAAAAGCTTATCGTTTCTCATTTGGAGATTTTTCTTTCTTTTAGGTGGTAAGTGATAGATGCTGCTTATTGGTTTGTGTTGCACACATATATAGCAATATTTTTGATAGTTGCTGATTTTTTTAATATCTCATCCTAATAAGCAATGAAAATTTGTGAAGATAAGAAGCAAATACGATTTCAAAGTTGGCGGCAATTTTTAATACAAATATTTCTGTTTTTAGAAAGTTTCGTCTTTTGTAGGAGATGACTTAGCATTATATATTGTAAGAAAATAGTGTTATGTATACATCTGACGAAAAATTAAACCATAAAATATAGTACTAGTTGATTGAAAGTAACATACAAAAATAGACTATTTTATACAATTTACTTGTAAATTTCTTATTGCAAATATAGTTTACTTGTATTATGTAACTAAAAATATGACATTTTCATTTATATGAAAGTCAAGCAATAAATTATTATTCAGTGGGAGAGGTATATTCGAACTTAGAAGTAATCTAAAGACTGGGCAATTAATAAATTTAACATGAAAATAATCATGAGTGTAAAAAAACGTTGACTGATTAAGTAAAAGAAAAAAGAAAGAAGTAAAAATCTTGCGACTCTGATTGGTCTCAGAGACAGAGGGAAAAATAAAATAAAAAAAGCTGTCTAAAGGTTGCAGCTTTTACTGTTCCATACCGAGCCACATTGTGATTTGTGAAGTTATTAAACTCAAGTGTAGTCACTATCTGATATCATAGTCTGGTACCACGCTTCTCCTGCTGATTTGATCTTCAATGCCTTTTCCTGCAATACACAAAGATTAAGAGAAGATCAATGACTAATTCAAAACCCTCACATCAAGTAGTTCAAATCCATTCTTAGAATTTTATTAATATTGTATGTGGTTGTAAAAACAGTTCAAAGATATATAGTTATTAAATTACGTTTTTGATTTTTGGAGGATTGATATGTATTTTTTGGAACCCGAGGATATAGTTGCAAAAAAAAAGAAACTTGAACCCGAGGATATAGTTGCGCATTTTGTTGAGGTTAAAATTTCTTGTACTCTAAATCAAAGATAAGTCAATATGCTACTAATCTTTAGATAATGCGAGATATCATAGTCCTAGGGTTAATGTCTTTGTCTTGGGGAACACGTCACATCATCAACCTCCTCTATGGTGACTTGTTAGTCTCACTTATACATAATATATCTGAATTTGGATAGTCCTTCGACGAAAATAGTTATTTTCATCATCTTATACATAAAAACACACGCCTTTTTGTTTGTTAAATTAAAGAGTCTTGAGACATTCAAACATTATAGTTGCTCCCTTGTGTCTTGATGAATATCATCAGCAGGTGGGTTTACTACATCTTCAGCAGCAGGCGCTTCTTGGTTTAAGGAACACGGACATTTCTCCACGTTGTTGATATACGAGATTTCATCTGGTTCATGAAACTCTTGCCACAGACTATTACCCTGATTATCCTTGACAAAAAAGAAACCGAATTTTCCAAGGGTGAAAACACACATTAGGAAAGCAATGAGAAACAAAACCCAGAAACTGTCTACTCCAAGCTGCCTCGATGAAATAGACGGATTTGGATCTGCGGTTGTGACTGGATTCGGACATGTTTCTTCTTTCTTTCTGAACCACGCGAGCTCAAGCTCCTTCCCTTTGGGTGATTCTGCCACTTTTAGGATGGCCCTTGATACATCAGCAACCAGAGGTGACCCAATCGGAAAAACCTATGAAAAGGGACATGTTATATGATCTTAGCATATAGTTTTAGAAATTGGAACAATGGTTTTGTTATGGAAACTCACGAAGCCGAATCCATCAACGCTAAAGGGTTCTTCAACCATTTGATAAGCGTTGCAGTATTGTCCAAGAAAGAGCTTCATGTAGGGTACTTCCAAGAAAGCTGCAGCGACACCCCCTTTTTCAGATCCTTTTCTCAAAAGCTTGTCGCAGTCTTCCGCGCTATCAAAGGGTATGAGGCTGGATCGAGTGAAACCCGCTTCTTTAAGTTTTCCAAAGATGAATGATGTCCTTGGATATCCCACATTTTCTCCTTTCTCAAGCAAACTTCTCATGCTAGTTATGGTTGGATCAAGTTGTCGTGAAGTTAAAAGGGACGCCAAGCTGGCCGTGTAACTTTGAGTCAACAAGAGCACGATGAAGTACCATGTTATAACCAAAAGCCTAGCTCCAAAACTGAAAACTCTTTCTCCTACAAACCGCAGTAAGCATTAATGAAAGTATATATATAACAATCACTATATGTGTTGAGATATGTAGAATGGGAGACTGAATTTTACTTGGAGCAAAAACCATGGTAGAGAAAGCAAACCAGAAGATTGTACTAGCTTGGTACCTACGTGGTCCGCGGAAGTCCGGGTTAACCCTATGTTCAACAGCCCAAACAGTAAATCCAATGAGAAAGAAGAAGAGAAATGAAGTCATCCACAGTTTCCATGTTAAAGGCTTCAAGAAACTAATACTATCTCTTTTTACTTGGTCTTCGACGGGAACAATCAATCCCACACCTGATTTAATGAATGGAAATGTGAAGTCGACATAAGAGGATCTGTTTGCCAGCATAGTCGTATCTCCCACAACCGCGTCATATTTCTGCGATATAGACAAAGAAAAAACATATTTAATTAGTGAACTCTCTAAGATGACCCCCTTAATGGTAGTGTGTTACTCACCCCGAGGTAGACTTGGTATACTAGAGCGTTGTGATCCCCAGCTGGTTTACCGTCAGGAGTTTCAAAAGGAATGAAATCGTAAGAGATGTCATAAGGCATTGCTCGAATCACAGCCTCAAAGAAATCTATACAGAAACCTGTAACTACTGGTGAATTGGTAATAGGATCCCTTGTAACTTTCACAAGATCGGTGTAACCGGTTCTCTTTGGAACTCCAATGCGCAACCTCCTCCCGTTCGTTGGGATCTCCCATCCTTTGGGAACAGAATTAGCCTCTCCAGGCCATATTATAAGCTTAAGATGATCTTGCCAAGTGGATAAAGTACCTATGCTACGTGGTTCTTGGTCAAGTTTCTTCACAAGACCATTTTCTTCCGTCCAAAATCCAATTGACCTTTCTCTTGTCCCGATTACATTAACAATCTCAAACACCGATGGTTGTAGCTGCCTGTTGACAAAACGAAAATCTCCGGCCAGTCCTTTGAACTGAATTGTTGAGAGTGTCTGGAGAAGCATTGGACCGTATTGAGATAAACCAAGAACTTCAAGTTCAGAAACATCCCTTCCAAGATCCACATTACTGAAAGTCATGTTATCTATTCCAGCTTCTTCAACAGCTATCGCTAGTGCGGTGGTAGCATCATAAGCCCACAATCCATAGACACTCAGCTCAATCTGTGGGAAACTCTTCCTCCATCGAGACCTAAACTTGTCCAGCTCTATGGATTTCTGAATATAAGTTTTAACACCAAGTACGCCCTCCATAGCCTCAACATCCGTCTCATTCATCGTAGCTAAGTCATCGGTGACACTATTGGTAAGGATCCATACATATCCTGGTTTCATCAAACCAATCTCCTTAGCTTTAAGAAAGACTCTTGAGGCAAGAGAAGAGTACATGTGGACGATGAAGACTCTAGTGGGCATGGTCATCATTTTAAGAAGCTCCACGGAGATATCTTGATCCGTAGCATTGAGAGCGATAACAGATCTATAAGGTATTCGAACATTAATCTCTTGTAATGCATCGGTGAGACGAGGCATTATACCTTCTCCAAACGTGTTGTCTACGTAAACAGGTACAACTTCTCTCCAGCCAAACAACTTGATAATAGCTTTTACGGCGTTTACTTGAGAAGAGTCCTCGTATGTAGCACGAAGGAAGTATGGACTGCGGAGAGATGTAAGAAACGGGCTTGTTGCAGAGTAGGAAATAATCGGAACTCGTGACTTTTGGCCAATCTCAACCAAAAAATGAGCTTGCATTGAAGTCCATGGCCCCAAAATCGCTTCCACTTTCTTGTTCTTTATCAGCTCAATAGCTTGTGACAAAAGTCAAATCCAAGAAAATTCGGTGTGAATAATATTAAATACCAAATTTATTAAGTTTTCTTGTCAATCCGATGTTTGACGTTGAGAAAAGAAAGTACCTGCAGATGCTGCACCGATGACGTCTTCTTTGGAGTCGCCAACGTTGACGACAAGCCTTGTCTGGAATTGGGGACGAGAAGAGTAGAAATCGGCTAGAGACATGTTGATGCAGAGCATGGCAACGTCCGAGTATGAAGTTCCAACATCTGTTACAACACCGATATTGACTTTGGTTCTTCCGTTGTTCTGTCCTCTGCTGACTTCCACCCTGAAGGAGGAGAAGAAGAAAAGCAAGATGAAGAAGAATACTTTCTTGTTTCTCATTTGGGGTTTCTTTTGAGAGGAAAATGTGTTTCAAAATGATTATGGATTTCTATATGGTTAAGTTTTGATTAGCTGCTGAGTCTTTTTTTCAATTCAAATTCGTCAATCTTTAGACTATACCCGAAAATAGCATCAAATACAAATTCAAAGTTTGTGGCCTTTTTTTATAATCAAAATATTCCTTTAATGTACGTTTTGTTTGGTAAGAGACAACTAAGCTTTCTATATTGTATTAAAATAAATTTCTGTATATATTCGACAAAGAGTTAAATTTAATGTTGAAGTCAAATATAGTAATATTCTGTGCACTACTTGATTAAAAAGTAACAACGAAAAAACGTCGTGCATGATCATATATATAGTACATGTGTATTGAAAGAAAATAAGCATGACATAATTTCAATAAGAAGTTGAAGGAATCAATCAACTATGCAAGTGTTGAAACGGGCAAAAACCCGAGGAAAAACCCGCGGGTCAAGCCAAACCGTTAGAAGAAAATATTTAAAATTTTAGTTTCCTTAAGATTTGTATAAACTATTCCCTCTCTTTTAAAATATAAAATGTTTTAAAGTTTTTATTTTGTTTCATTTTTACAAATTTCTATGCAAACTTTTAATATATTTGATATTTTATGATTGTTTGTCATCTGCTGTCTTTTTATAATTTGTTAAAAGTTTTATATTATATAATATAATATTATATGATAATTTTTTTTAAAAAAATTCTTACAATGTGAGCTTTTAATCAAAACATTCTATATTTTGAAACTGAAAGAGTACAAAGAGTACAATACAGTAGTTTTGTTTGATAAAAAACACTTAATGACAATCTTGAGAGATTCAACATAATGGGTGGTTACTTGTGCCTCAAGACAACCATTAGCTGTTTGATTTGTTGCCTGACGAGTGTTCTTGTTAGGAGATCTCGGAGATTACGAAATCGACTTGAAAGGAAAGTTAACATTTGTATAATATATTCTTATTGTTAAATAGGTAGATTTCCTATTATCATATATGTAAAAAACTTGCTAATCAAGTTATGATCCTTGTATAAATAAGCATATTGGCTAATGAATAAATTGAGAGAAACTATTCTACTACTACGGTTTCCTCCAAACTTATCAGTTCTCATAAAGGAGTTGACTTGACGAACATGGACATTTCCCTACATTTTTGATGTACGAATCATTTTCTGGTTTTTGAAACTCATTCCGTAAGCCATCATCTGGTTTGGCCTTTTTTTTTTAATTTTTTTGGATAAATATGTAAATATCATTTGGAATGAAATGTTTAGGGCTTACCAAAATATTTGTTACCTTGCCAAAAAAAATAAAATAAAAAACAAGGGAACAAATGAGATTTAAGAAAGAAAAAAAGCTCATCGAATCCACAGCTGCATAAGTTTACCAAACTCAGACTAGCTTAATTTGACACGTAGCCACGTAGGCACCATACTACTGTACAAATAGTTTTCAAGAAATTGAATCTTCGAAAGTGAAAACATTCAAGTTTGCTATCTAACTATCAAATGGTTTGACAGTAAATTAGTTAGTTGAGGAATCGTTTTATCATAAAAGAATAAGAAATCGATTCTCTATTTGCACTTACGTTTATATTTTTAAAAAAGTGAGTTTATTGTGTAGCTGAAAAATGTTTTGTATTTTTGGTTTCCGAAAATTGCTATAAAGTACAATAGTTTGGTTTAATAAAAGCATACGATAGTTAAATTAAAGACAGTCTTGGTCATGACTCTTGAGAGATGTTTACTTGTTCCTAACTCTTAACTCATTACCGTTGTCTGTCTGGTTGGTGGCATTATTGCTGTTCTCAGGCATCTGTCGACTTGATGAACACGGACATTTCTCTACGTGGTTGATGTACGAGTCGGTGTCTCGTTCTTGAAACTCTTTCCACAAATCATTCCCTTTTGTCTTCCATAGGAAACAGAATGTGAATTTTCCGAGTGCTAGAACGCAGACAACAAACACAACAAGAAACAGAAACCAGAAACTGCCTAAGCCGAGCTGTATAGCGGTAACAGTTGGATTTGAATCTGGATTGGTAACTGGATCAGGACAACTTTGTTCTTTCTTCTTGAACCATGCGTGCTCGAGCTCCATTGCCTTTGGAGACTCTGCTACTTGTAAGATGGCCCTTGAAACATCGGCCACCAGAGGTGATCCGATTGGAAAAACAAAGCCGAATCCATCAACGTTGAAGGGTTCTTCAACCATTTTATAAGTGTTGCAATATTGTCCAAGAAAGAGTCTCGAGTAAGGTAATCCCAAGAAAGCTGCAGAGATACCACCCTTTTTTGATCCTTTTTTCAGAAGCTCGTCGCATTCTTCTGCGGTATCAAAGGGCACAAGGCTAGATTGTGGGAAACCTGTTTCATTAAGCTTTCCAAGGATGAAGGATGTTCTCTGATAACCGATTGTTTCTCCTTTATGAAGCAAGCTACTCATGCTGGTTATGGTTGGATGTAGTTGCTGTGATGTCAAAAGCGACGCCAAACTGGCTGTGTAACTCTGAGTTAACACAAGAACGAGGAAGTACCATGTGACAACCAGGGCCCTCGCCCAGAAGCTAAACACTCTCTCTCCTAGGACAGCAATTCGAGGATAAGAATCAAACATGGTAATATATAGAAACATAGATAAGATGATAATGTAAGGGGTGGAGATTAAATGTACTTGGAGCAAAAACCATGGTAGAGAAGGCAAACCAGAAGATGGTACTAGCTTGGTAATTAGCCGGTCCACGGAAGTCCGGATTAACCCTATGTTCAAGAGTCCAAACAGAGATTGAAACAAGGAAGAAAAAGACTAAGGATGTCAACCATAGTTCGATTGACAAAGGTTTCAAGAAACTGAATTTGTCTCTTTTCACTTGGTCTTTCATTGGGACTATCATTCCAACACCTGATTTAATGAATGGGAGAGTGAAGTCAACGTAAGAGGACCTATTCGCCAGTATGGTTGTATCTCCCACGACCGCATCATATCTCTGCCATGGAAAACAAAATAAAAATAATTCACTAAGATGGTTTTGCAAATGCTATTTTTTGAGGGATGATTAGTGTGTGATCGTACTCACCCCGAGGTACACTTGCTGGACCAAGTCGTTGTGATTACCGGCTGGTTTACCGTCAGGTTTTTCAAAAGGAATGAACTCATAAGAGATGTCATAAGGCATTGCCTGAATCACAGCCTTAAAAAAATCTATGCAGAAACCTGTGACTACAGTTGAATTGGTGATAGGATCCCTTGTGACCTTCACGAGATCAGTGAAACCGATTCTCTTGGGAACTCCAATGCGCAACTTCTTCCCATTGGTCGGGATCTCCCATCCTTTCGGAACAGAATCAGCCTCTCCAGGCCATGTAATGTATTTAAGATGATCTTTCCAAGTAGATAAAGTGCTCATGCTACTTGGTTGCTGATCTAGTTTCTTCACAAGACCATTTCCCTCCGTCCAGAATCCTATCGACTTTTCTCCAGTTCCGATCATATTGATAATCTCAAACACCGATGGTTCAAGTTGCCTGCTGATAAAATGAAAGTCTCCTGCAAGTCCTTTGAACTGAACTGTTGAGAGCGTCTCGAGAAGCTTTGGACCGAATTGAGATAAACCAAGAGCTTCAAGGTCAGAAACATTCCTCCCCGTATCCACCACATGACTGAAAGTCATGTTATTTATTCCAGCTTCTTCAATGGCCATGGCTAATGCAGTGGTAGCATCATAAGCCCACAATCCATAGACATTCAGCTCCAACCGTGGGAATATCTTCCTCCATCGAGATCTAAACTTGTCAAGATCTTTGGATTTTCGAATATAAGTTTTAATACCCAATACCCCCTCCATAGCCTCAATAGCCGTCTCATTTATCGACCTTAAGCCATCGATAACAACATTGGTAAGGATCCAGACATATCCTGCTTTCATCAAACCAATCTCCTTTGCTTTAATGAAGAATCTTGAGGCTAGAGAAGAGGACATGTGGACAATGAACACTCTTGTGGGCATGGTCATCATCTTAAGAAGCTCCACGGAGATTTCATGATCCGTGGCATTGAGAGCGATAACGGATCTATGAGGTATCCGGACATTAATATCTTGTAATGCATCGGTGAGACGAGGCATTATACCTTCTCCAAAGGTGTTGTCGATGTAAACAGGCACAACTTCTCTCCACCCGAACAATTTTATGATGGCTTTTATGGCTTCCACTTGAGAGGAGTCTTCATACGTAGCACGAAAGAAGTATGGACTACGAAGGGAATTAAGAAATGGGCTTGTTGCAGAATAAGAAACGACAGGAACATGGGATTTTTGGCCAATTTCGATCAAGAAATGAGCTTGCATAGATGTCCGTGGCCCCAAAATTGCTTTCACTTGCTTGTTCTTTATCAGCTCAAGAGCTGTGACAATTTTAAAACCAAGAAAATTCGGGTTGAGTATGTCACACGTGAACATAGTATATACATACATATCAATAGATATGCAAATGTATCCAAACCTAATATATAGATATGTATAGAGAGAAAGGGAGAGGCGGGAGAGGAAAAGACCTGCAGTTGCAGCACCCACGACGTCACTTTTGGAGTCACCGACGTTGACAACAAGCCTTGTCTGAAATTGGGGACGAGAAGAGTAGAAATCGGCAAGAGACATGTTGATGCAGAGCATGGCAACCTCCGAGTGTGAAGTACCGACATCTGTTACAAGACCGACATTGACTAGGGTTTTGCCATTGTTCTGTCCTCTGCTGATTTCAAAGCAGAAGAAGAAGACGAGTAAGACACCGAAAAGCTTCTCGTTTCTCATTTAGGAGATTTTTTTTCTTGTTCTTTTAGATAATAAGTGATAGATGCTGCTTTGTTTTTTCTTTTTTGGGCATAAAAGTGATAGATGCTGCTTATTGGTTTGTGTTTGCACACATATATAGCAAAGTTTTGACTAGTTGCTGAATTTTTAATATATCATCCTAATAAGCAATGAAACATTATACAGACAAGAAGCAAATACAATTTCAAAGTTCGTGGCAATTTTTAATACAAATATTTCTGTATTTAGGAGGTTTCATGTTTTGTAGGAGAAGACTTGGCATTATATATTGTAAGAAAATAATGTTATGTATACATTGGACAGAAAATAAACCTAAAATATTGTACTACTTGATTGAAACCACGTAAAAATAAACTTTATTATGTTTATACAATTTACTTGTAATTTTCTTATTGTTTCTGTAACTAAAAATATGACCTTTTCGTTTCTATGAAAGTCAAGCAATAAATTATTAATAAGACGTGGGAGAGTTATGTTAGAACATCTCCATTGGTTAAGATACTCTTATGAGTATTTTGAATAATAAAATAATGGTATTTTTTTTAATAAGATTTGGTTATTTTAATTAATTTAAATTTGTTGAAAAAATTAAGCCACTACATATGTGATGTGTTAGATGAGTTGCTTATTAAGAAACCATAAGTTTTTTTAATGAGAACCCCTCTCACCTCTCTCTCTCTTAGAACTTAGGGGCTCTCTTCTTCTTTTTTTTTTTCTGTCATCAAGGTTATATTATAGAAAAGCATAAGAGGATTACAATACCTTAAACAGGAAAATGTGTTTCAAGATAATTGTGGATCTATATGTTTAAGTTTTGATTAGCCTCTGAGTTTTTTTTTCAATTCAAATTATTCATCTTTAAACTAAACCCGAAAATAGTATCAAATACAAACACAAAGTTTTTATTTTTATTTTTTTCTTAAAAAAGGGATGCAACACGAAGACTTTCCGGGAGGTCACCCATCCTAGTACTATTTTCGCCCAAACACGCTTAACTGCGGAGTTCTGATGGGATCTGGTACATTAGTGTTGGTATGATCGCATCCTACAAATTCAAAGTTTGTGGCCATTTTCTAATATCAAAATATTCCTTTAATGTACTTCGAGTTTGGTAGGATACAACTAAGCTTATTGTTTTAAAAACATTTCTGTATATATACGACAAAGAGTTAAATTTAGTGATGATGAAGTCAAATATATTAATATCTGTGTACTACTTGATTAAAAAGTAACAACGAAATAAACGTCGTGCAGATCACATAGTTTACGTGTATTAAAAGAAAATAAGTATGTATGACATCTTACGGAAAAACGGTATATTTCCCCACGAGAAATATCGCATCATAACAGATAGAGTCCAATCTATGACTACATGCTAGATGTCTCCGAAACAATATTTGTCAACCTATATCTCCCCGAATCCATAGTTTTCATCTATTTTCCCATAAATCTGGGTTAAATCGGTTTACGAACTAAATCTAATAGAAACCAATCAAACCGATACCAAACCACTTATGTCAAACTTTCTTTTGATATAAAAGGTTTCAATAATTAAAAAAAAAAAAAAAAACGAAAAATTTCAAGAAATAGACCGTTTTTCCTACATAATTTCAAGAAGAAGTTCAAGCAATAAACTATGCAAGTGTTGAAACGGGCCAACACCCACAGGTCGAACCAAACCCGTTCCGCCGTAGATAAATATTTAAAATTCTAGTTTCGATAAGATTTGTATAGACTACTATTACTAATAGTACTTATTGACAATCTTGAGAGATTCAAACATAATGGTTGGTTACCGAAAGATTCAAACTTAATGGTTGGTTACTTGTGTCTCAATTGTTATCTGTCTTGTTTGTTGCTTGACTAGTGTTCACATGCATGTGTTGACTTGACTAACATGGTAAATGGACAGTTCTCTACCTTGTAGATGTACGAGTCATTGTCTGGTTGTTGAAATTCATTCCATAAACCATTAGGTTTAATTAGGCTTCCTTAGGACAAAGAATCTGAATTCGCCGAGGATTAGAACACACAAATCAAAAGCAACAAGAAAAAGAAACCAGAAACTTTCTACTCCGAGCTGCCTAAATGATGTAGACGGATTTGGATCTGGATTAACGACGACTGGGTCTGGGCAACTTTCTTCTTTTTCTTGAACCATGCACCATCAAGCTCCATTGCTTTTGCTGATTCTCCTACATTTAAGATTGCCCTTGAAACATCAGCCACCAAAGGTGATCCGATTGGAAAACCTACAAAAAATCTATATATACATTTTTGAAGTATAATTTTGTGAAAACTCTTTGTTTTCTACACTATTTACAAGGAATGTCATTGCCTATAATGTATCCAAACAACATTTACATTAATTCTCTACTATTTATTTAACCAAACACAATTAAAAGATTTTAACATTACTTATAAAACAAAAAATATCCATATAATGTTCCACATTTAATAATATAGATATATATATCTAGAATATTTGGTTAAGATTTGAAATTATGACTCTTCTATTATCTTTGTTTGAATTTTTGTTTAGTTGTTTTGAATCATATAATACATAAAGTTAAGAAAAATCTCAAAAAAAAAAAAATCAGCATATATTGTGATTCAAATTTTTAAAACGGACTTATATCAATCAATTAACGAAAAAGTGTGTGTTCAACATCCCACATTGGTTAAAATGTTTAGACAATGATTCAGAGTCATATTATAAATAAGATCAAAAGAATCCAAATCAAAAAGCAGGAAGCATAGCTTAACAAACATCTAAATTTAAAAGTTTGTATACGGTTTATTATGTTTTTAGTTAAACTATTTAATTTTACCGGATTCAGTAAATTTTACACTTTTTAAGAGTTTCAAATATTATAATTGATATATTTAAATTCAATAAATTTTTTTATAATATTATAAATATTTGAACTTGTAAAAAATAAATTAACATGGGATGGGCTATATTGAATCCTATACTATTATTTGGGAAGTACATTAAAAAAAATAACCTTGCTCTTTGTAACATATTACATAGGAATGCCATTAGAGATAAAATTTCAAAGAGTAAATTAATACATTTCATTAAGGATAAACAAATCAAATACTAATTTATGCAATTTATTTAATATAATTTATTTATTAAAACGAAAAATACATTATTAATTTTAAAAAAGAATGACCAATCAAAATAAATATTTTGATATCTAACTCACTATATTAGTTTTTTTATTAATCATTATACTTCATCTCTCATCCTTATATGATTCTATTTTTGTGAAGCAAATAAATCATGATATCATCCATATAACAAAATTTTTTTTAATATAAATCATGCATATTATTTTGGACTTCGTATGATTAATCTGCATTTTTTAGAGATGGAAAGTAAAGTTGCAAAAATGGGCGAGTTTTAGAGGGTTTTTTTGCACAAAACCCACCAAAATATGGTATTAGCTCGGTAATTACACGGTCCACAGAAGTCCAGATTAACCCTATGTTCAAGAGCTGAGATAGTAAATCCAATAAGGAAGAAAAAGACAAAGGACGTCACCCACAATATCAGATTCTAAACTGATATTTCTCTTCATCACTTCGTCTGTCATTGGGACAATTAACCCCATGCCTGACTTAAGGAACAGAAATGTGAAGTAGACACATGTTCGCCAGTATGGTTATATCTCCCACAACTGCATCATATTAGACTAGATACAATGGTGCTTTTCTAAACAGTTGAAAAATTATTACAACTGTTGATTCACTCCAATGATGTGTTGTATAAATGATAAATGATGAGGTGGAGTTAACAGAGTTGTAAAGATTCAACGGGGTTGAAACGAGAGAAATGGGTCTCATGGTGACAAGTGGCAGACATTGATTGGGCGATTTTTTTAATTATATGATAATATTTGGATAAAACATGTGTATAGTTTTTATTGGATGCTGAGATTTTAGATGTTTCTTATCCCACTCAATTATTTAAGATCAATTATGTCACAAAATATTAAATTTTATTTTAATATTTTTATACCAAAATTCATCATTTTTCATACTCTATAAATAGAGACTTGTTTCACTTAATTTGGACACACAAAAAAAAAATCCATCTTTTTTACTATATTTTTGTTATAAGCCTTCATAAACTCTTTTTTATTGTTTTACCCATCTTTTTAGTGAAATGGATCCTAATAATAATCCTTTTTGCTATCAGCCTTCATTAACGACTATTTGTATTTCTCGTTTTTATTATTTACAAAATAAAATAAAATGATATATAAAATAAAAACAAAAATTATCTTATAATTTTTTTTTTTACTTATTTTAGATTCATTTGATATTAACTGTGATTAATAATATGTAATCACAAAAAACTTAAACATAAATAAAAAGAAAAATATGAAAAGAAAAATTGTGGGGTAAGGTGTTGTAATTTTATTAAACAAAACTATTGTAGAAAGTAAAAATTATATAGGTGTTGAATTATGATGTGGAAGAGAGAGAAGATGATGTGGAATGTTAAAAAGAAAAAAGTGGGTGTTGTAAAATCAAAACCAATGTAGATAGTCTTACTGTGACAAAGAGAAGAATTGAGGATCAGTTCACTAAGATGATTTTTGTAAATGCTATTATGTGGGATAATTATGCTTATTCACCCCGAAATACACTTGGTAGACCAAGTCGTTGTAATCACCAGCTGATTCACCATTGGGTTTCTCAAAATGAAAGAACTCATAGGAGACATCACAAGGCATTGCTCGGATCACAACCTCTAAGATATCTATGCACAAACCGGGGACAATCGCTGAGTTTTTGATAGGATCCCTTGTGACCTTCACGAGATCGGTGTAACCACTTCTCTTTGGAACTCCGATGCGCAACTTCTTCCAATTTGTTGGCATTGCCCATCCTTTCACACCATCAAGCTCAAGGTCTGGACAACTTTCTTCTGTCTTCCTGAACCATGCATGCATGCTTAAGCTCCTTCGCTTTTGGTGACTCTTCTGTTGGTCGATAATTGAGTTTCTGATTATATGTATGTTTTATGTATTAAGGCATGATTCATATTAAGGTAGTTACTTGTCAAGAGGCACAAGTAGGAAGAGACACAAGTAGAAAGAGACACAACACATTGTGTTATAGTGGAAAAAGAAGAAGAAGAAGAAGACGTAATAGAAAAGGAAGAACAAGAAGAGGTGGTAACAAGAGAGAGTACCATCAGCCTTCACAAACACATTCACAGAGACAAATGTCTCTTGCACTGTTTTTCTTCTTTCTCTCAATATTCCAACATCTTCTACTTTTAAGATGGCCCTTGAAACATCGGCCACCAGAGGCGACCCGATTGGAAAAACCTGCAAAAAAAGGACTTACGATCTCACCATATAATGCAAGTTTCACTGAAGTTTTGATATGGAAACTTACGAAGCCAAATCCATCAACCTCGAAAGGCACTTCAACAATTTTATAAGTGTTGCAATAATTTCTAAGAAAGAGTCTCAAGTAAGGAATTTCTAAGAAAGCTGCAGAGACACCGCCTTTTTTTGATCCTTTTCTCAGAAGCTCATTACATTCTTCTACGGTATCAAAGGGCACAAGACTAGATTGCGAGAAACCAGTTTGTTTAAGCTTTCCAAGGATGAAGGATGTTCTCGGATAACCCACTCTTTCTCCTCTCGAGAGCAAGCTACTCATGCTGGTTATGGTTGGAGTTAGTTGTTGTGATGTCAAAAGTGATGTCAAACTATCTGTGTAACTCTGAGTTAACACGAAAACAATGAAGTACCATGTGATAACTAGGACCATCGCCCAGAAGGTAAACACTCTTTCTCCTGCGGACAAAAACTCTAGAGTCATCATTAATCAAGAGGATACTACTAGCTGCTTGGTAATTATGCTAAGATGTATAGAGAGGTGATTCAATGTACTTGAAGCAAAACCCATGGTGGAGAAAGCAAACCAGATGATAGTACTAGCTTGGTAATTAGCAGGTCCACGGAACTCCGAGTTATCCCTATGTTCAAGAACCCAAACAGTAAATCCAATAAGGAAGAAAAAGGCAAAGGAAGTCAACCACAGTTCCCATGATAAAGGTTTAAAGATAGTGGCATTGTCTCTTTTCACTTGGTCTTCAATGGAGACGATTAATCCTACATCTGATCTAATGAATGGTAATGTGAAGTCGACGTAAGAGGACCTATTTGCTAGTATGGTTGTATCTCCCACAACGGCGTCATATCTCTGAGACAGAGAGAAGAAGAGTACAGAGTGAGATGGTTTTTATAAATGTTATTTTGAGTGATGATTAGTGTGTGATCGTACTCACCGCGAGGTACACTTGGTGGACCAAGTCATTGTAATCCCCGGCTGGTTGATCATTGTGTTTCAGGAAAGGAATGAACTCATAGGAGACCTCATAAGGCATTGCGCGCATCACAGCCTCGAAGAAATCTATGCAGAAACCTGTGACTACTGTTGAATTGGTGATAGGATCCCTTGTGACCTTCACGAGGTCAGTGAAATCGGTTCGCTTAGGAACTCCAATCCGCAACCTCTTCCCATTTGGAATAGAATCAGCATCTCCAGGCCATATAATGTATCTAAAATGATCATTCCAAGTAGATAAAGCGCTCATGCTCCTCGGTTGCTGGTCTAGTTTCTTCACAAGACCATTTTCCTCTGTCCAGAATCCTATTGACCTTACTCCGGTACCGATCACATTAACAATCTCAAACACCGATGGTTGCAGTTGCCCATTGACAAAACGGAAATCTCCTGCAAGTCCTTTAAACTGAACTATTGAGAGTGTCTGGAGAAGCTTGGGACCGTAATGAGATAAACCAAGAGCCTCAAGTTCAGACACATTTTTCCCAAGATCTGCATTACTGAAAGTCATGTTATCTATTCCAGCTTCTTCAATAGCCATCGCCAGCGCGGTGGTAGCATCATAAGCCAACAATCCATATACATTGAGCTCCATCTGTGGAAATCGCTTCCTCCATCGAGATCTAAACTTTTCTAGATCTTTGGATTTCCGAATATAAGTTTTAACACCCAATACCCCCTCCATAGCCTCAATGTCAGTTTCATCTATTGAACTTAAGTCATCAGTAACTCCATTGGTAAGGATCCAGACATATCCAGGTCTCATCAAACCAATCTCCTTTGCTTTAGTAAAAAATCTTGAGGCAAGAGAAGAGTACATGTGGACAATGAACACTCTTGTGGGCATGGTCATCATCTTAATAAGCTCCACAGAGATTTCATGATCCGTGGCATTGAGAGCAATAACGGATCTATAAGGTATCCGAACATTAATATCTTGTAATGCATCAGTGAGACGAGGCATTATACCTTCTCCAAAGGTGTTGTCGATGTAAACTGGCACAACTTCTCTCCACCCAAACAATTTGATGATAGATTTTATGGCCTGCAGTTGAGAGGAGTCTTCGTACGTAGCACGAAAGAAGTATGGACTACGAAGGGAAGTAAGAAATGGGCCTGTTGCGGAGTAGGAAACAATCGGGACCAGTGATTTTTGGCCAATCTCAACCAAAAAATTAGCTTGCATGGAAGTCCATGGCCCCAAAATTGCCTTCACTTGATTGTTCTTTATCAGCTGAAGAGCTGTGACGAAAGTCAAAACCAAGAGAACTCGGTGTGAAGAATTGAATGAAGATAGATAGATTTGTTTTTTTTTTTGAGTGTAAAAGTGAATAGATAGATGATCACAAACAGGAGCAGAGCATATTTAGTTCGATGGAGAGAGCAATGAGAGGAGAAGATAAGTTACCTGCAGCAGCGGCACCAAGGACATCGTTTCTGGAGTCGCCGATGTTGACAACAAGCCTTGTCTGGAATTGGGGACGAGAAGAGTAGAAATCAGCAAGAGACATGTTGATGCAGAGCAGTTCAATGTCTGAATGCATCTTCCCGACATCTGTTACAATACCAACATTGACTTCTGTTTTTCTGTTGTTCTGTCCTCTGCTGAATTCCACAAAAAAGACAAAGAAGAAGAAGACCAAGACGACGAGAAAAACTCTCTTGTTTCTCATTTGGCTGTTTCTTTTAAGATGAAGATGCTAAGTATAAGAAGTGATGATATATAAGCTCAACTTGTGTTGATCTCTAATTCTCTAAAAGTTTTGATAAGCAGCTGATGTTTTAAATTGACATTCTCACCCAGACCAAATCCGAACGACCGATGCATCAAATATGTTAAAGATTAGAATCAACTACAATGTCAAAGTTAAGTAACCATTTTTAATCAAAGTTAAGTAAAGTTTTTAGCTTTGTTGGAGACGACTTTGCATTCTATATTGTATTAAAAAAAAAAAAATTTGTACATATTCGACGAAAATCTAAGCACGTCGTATAGAAGTAATATTATGTGGACAACTTGATTTAAAGATGAATTTTTTTGTCTTTATATTGTATGTAAAAATATGACCTGTTCAATAATCTCAATTCTACTAAAGTCAAGTAATAAGATTTTATTAAATGGCAGAGTTGTATTAGAAATAATCTAACACTGGCAAAACTAATTGGTTTAACATGACAATTTATCATGGTAAAACCGCAATTTTTTTTTTTTTTTGAATGAATGTAAAAATATATTCAACCAAAAAAGCCATGTGTACAATGAATGCATCTGTTTTTTGAAGAAATTAGATAGAAGACATTAAAGGCAGAATATAGAGTTTAGAGAAGTGTCAAGGTCTTGTTTATGGAATTGATTGAGTAGAGAACCACAAGCTTAGGCCGTCACCGTATCGATGATCTCCCTAGTCTTTGATAGCCCTGATGCGGTTTCGAACGGTCTTGTCTATGAGTTTGATTAGTCGAGTTATAGGGGACTGAAGTTCTCCATGTCTTCTTGCATTTCTCTCGCGCCATATGTGGTAGAGAGTAGCTTGGAAGACATACCTAAACAAGAAGAGGTTGAGCCGCGGGATGGTTGTGTTGTTGAGCAAAGCAACCAATTGGGTCCAATCCGTGGAGTAATTGACGTGCAGCAGTCGTTGGGCTAGAGCCTTCCAAATTGCAGCAGCATACGGGCAAGAGAAAAACAAATGATCTCTTGATTCTTCAGTATTATCACATAAGACACAATCAACTCGCTGTCCCGAATTCCATTGTTTAATACGGTCCCCAGTAGCCAATCTGTTGTGAATTGCGAGCCACAAGAAGAATGAATATTTTGGAGTTGAGTAGGGAAACCAAACCCCTTTATACCATTCCACTCTTGGATGCAAATGCCGAATATTATTCCAAGTGTGCTTTGTCGTAAACGTTTTACTGAATTTAGCTCCTGAGGATTGCCATAATGGAATGTCAGTTTCCTTCGACTACTCTTGTTCGTTGATAGAGATCGCGAATCGCAGCTTCAATCTGATTGAGGTTATCAACTCGATGCTTTCTGGTTCGTTGAGACTGTAACACTTTTTCGAAGTTTGCGTCAAGTGGTATGCCCATATCAATGACTCCACGAGGTCCTGTCACGTCAATTAGTCTACCCATTTGTAATGCCCCCGAACCGCTCTATGACCGGACAAGCCACGGGCGACCCGGAAACGTCACGTTGAAGATGATCGACAACAGTTCAGTAGAGGTTCCGGACAAACCGGTTCCTTAACCAATCCATTATTGATCCTCTTCCCACTATGAACATCACTTAGGCTTGCAAACCCTTGTGATATCCTAGTGTTGAGCGACCCGGACGAGGTCTTATATCATAGATCACTCGGATTTGTTTCCGATAAAATCTTTCATACTTAGTGTATACGGCTTATACTTGCAAAAAGTTACCAAATGTGTATTTTATTCGGATCCTTGTTAAAATTTACATAATAACAAGTAGTTTTGCAGAAGCAATGTAAATACCCTATTTCCGGCAATTCCCTAGTGTTCGTCTTCCCTTAAAGGTTTTACCGCTACGGTTGCCTGCAAAACAAGTAGAGTCATGAGTAATCTAAGATTACTCAGTGAGCTGGGTAGTACTCTAACACGCATAAGGTAACTCTCTACAAATCAACCTAATTCATCAAGTAAACAATCATATCAGAGATCGCGGAACACGCAGCAAGCATCGTTATCATCAAGTAAACATATAGTCTAACAATGATTTATGCATCCGAAAGTCTAGACACTTGAACCTAAGGGCCCAATACTCTGTTCCTCGTACACCACTTCTTCTCAAGATGAAGGGTACCAGCAGGAGATACCATACTTATGCATCGTCATGCATTACCCGGCCTAGGTCCCGGGTCTTATGTCATTTTGGTGTAAGTGATCAGCTGAGGATCAAGACTTACATGACATGCCGCCAAGGAGGAACAGAAGTACTATAGTCTAAGTATGCTTAAGGTATCGGGTAAACCTGAATACCACATAAATAGACATTAATAACATCATGCATCAATACATTTAACAAGTACAGAACGTTTCTAAGAGTCAATCACGATCACTTAGTAGTTCAGCACAAGTAAAGCATGTAATCACACAAGAGGGTAAAGTCAATTCATCAAGTAAACTTAGATTCGTTCAGTTCATCATGTAAACCTAGCATCCGTTCAATCATTAATCGTTATCATGCATGCATTCATCGTATCTAAAGTCTAGCTCTAGAGATTCATGCATACTACACGCAATTCTACCACAACTCACGAAGAATTTGGCAGTTGGTGGGGTTTCACGGTCGCAGACACGGATTCCCTCGATCACGGACTGTGTTTCTCGATCACCGGCGACAATTTTTCCGATCACAAGTACTTCTCTCGATCACCAACGATTTTCTCTCGTGCTTTTAAATTCCTTTCGCTCCAAAATGAAAAATAGGCGGAGGAAAGTCTCTATTTATAGCCAAGGGTCGAAGCCCATGCATGGCCGTGTACGGACGTCTGTCCGGACAGCTGCCGCGGTCATGCGCGGACAGATGGTAAGGACGACGTGACGGTGACACGTGACGACAGGTGGCGACAGGTGGCCAGTGCAGACTTCGGCTCCAAGTTGGCTAAACTTCGGCTCCAAGCTTGCTTGCTTGAGCCGCAAGCAAGCCAAACCCGGTCCGTGTTTGTCCCGCGGTACGGTCGGCTCTCGTCCCGCGGTACGGTCGTTTCGTCCGATCGACGAATCTCTCGACCGAAATCAATAATTCCTCGTACCACTTCCTCCCATTCTTCATAATATTCCATTTCGTTCGGCAAAGACTCGGATACGCACGACAAATTCGGTACGGAATCACCCGATCACCGATAAATGCCTTGCGGTACGTTTGGATACGTTTGGATCGACGAGTCCGTCGTATGGATCGATTTTTCCTCGAAGCTTTCTCGAACATAACTCCTTCTTGAGGTATTTTAAGACTTTGCATCGCAGAAAATTGCATCGACATCGATGATTTTACAAAGTTGACTCGGGACTTATGATTTCCTCGGCCATCTGTACGTTTGGATACGTCTGCGTACGTACGGATACGTCCGGGTACGTCCGGGTATGTCCGGATACGTACGGTTACGTATGGATACGTCCGACTTCAATCTTTTCTCGTCCGAATCTTTCTTTTGCTCGACCGAATCCTTTTGTTTTCCATCCTTAGTGAATTCCTTCTCTTTCTGAGTTCTTCTTTGAGCTTCCGTCAATGAATCTCGCACGGTCACTTACCCCTTAATGAGGGTCACTACATTCTTCCCCCCTTAAAAGAATTCGTCCACGAATTCTAACTCCTAAGTATCTCCTTCCTTCCTTAATTTCTTCTGAAGTTTATTCTCCGCATAATTCTCAAGTTCTTCTCCATTATCTTGTCTTTGATACTTCCTTCATCAATTTTCCTTGTTTCCTTTCGTTTTGCTTTCATCTTCCAGCGTGTAGACTTAGCTTCTGATTGTTCCGTCACTTGTATCTTCGTCACCGTGCAACTTAACTAATCTTCTAACTTAATCGCCGATTTCCCCCTCAGCTTTCTTCATGTCACCCATCTCTTTTCTATCTTGTTTTTGCCGGTTTCCCTATGAGCATTAACTTAGCAAATCTGTTGGTAACTCCGTCGTTGCTCGAGTTCTTATCCTCCCTTAAGTACTAGTACAGTCGGATCTCCGTGGTTTGCTTGGCTTGTTGTTTCTAGACTATCCTCCGGTGGGTTTTCAATTATCAAACACAAATATTTGGTTTTTATACAAGTGATGGTTCACGTTGTATAATAGCCGATCACACAACAAACAAGCAATTCTATCACTTAACATCAACACAACAAGCAAGTTCTAATACTTATCATGCATTCATTACCAAAACGTTACACTTTACACTTTATATTACAAGTTCTAATACTTATCATACATTCATTACCATCAGTCCTAATACATATAAGTACTACTTCACATTTCCTTAGCGTTAGCATATTTACACCAAAATTGCAAACACTTAGCCGATTTAAAACTTAGCTAAAAAGTTAAACTATACTTCTTCCTAGATGATCTTAACAGACCATCGGCTTAGGTTTCCTTACAATCAGGACACTCACACTTTACCCATAAGAACGACGGCATTCCTTCGTTTAAGCACTTCTCCTCTGTTGCCACGGTCGCCGACGGCCCAGCCCCTCTCGAAGATCCCTCACCAACGTTTGAAGCAGTATACAGACAGTACATTGAGACGTGTCCCACTCCACCACAGCAGTAACACTTGACATATTCAACCATGTAAGGCTGAACAGGATGTGCGTAAGGGCACATACCAGATGGATGATCTGTGCGGCTACATGCTCCGCACGGAGGTGATGTCTTTACCGGTGAAGTCCTTCTTCCACCAACTAACTTTCTTGCTGTAGCTCGGATTCGTGGTTTCACCTTCGACATAACTCCGTATCCAATCCCAAGAGGATGCGGCTCCGCAGCAATAATTCTCCGATCTTTAACCCTTCCTTGCTCGCCTTCAAGTTCCGCCACTCTCTTTCCTTTAGACTTTCCATCCACTTCCATATTATCAGCCACTTGATCTTTCGGTTGTCCTTCATCGATCTTCAGATGATTCATCAAGGAATCGTGATTCAGCTCTTGCTCCAGCATCATCGGATCCCATCTATCCTGCCTTTCTTCAAGACTTGATTCATTTCCTTTAAACATTTCCAACTCCGGACATAAATCTGCTTCACTTGAATAAACCATCACTTCTTGAGGATCTTGTTGCACTACCACTTGATTCTCCATCACGTTCAGCATCACTTCGGGGATAACTTCATTATGTGGTACAGATAATTCCCACAAAATGTTCTCTGGCTGCATCGTACATGGTGATAGGCTTGGATTTGGATCAGCAGGTTCCGGTGTCAAGGACTCAAACAAGTCAGAAGACGAGTCATTTGCATCATCACCACCGTTTCCTTTTTCCATTGGTTCAGGCTCCGCAGGTATGTCTTGTGCACACTCCGCGATCATTTGATCGATCGCATGCTCTAACTCAAGTTCCAGCATTATGGCTTCGTTCTCGGCTGCCTCATCGACACCCATCGCTTCATTAATACCCATCTCAGCTTCATGCTCGTTTTCAGCTCCTAACGCACCATCTTCTTTGATCATTGGTACTTCAAATAACGCCGTCATCGAAGCACTCAATCCTAAACCATATTCTCCGATAGTTTCCATCTCCGGAATACCCAAGTCTTCATCTCTATTAGATGTTTCCACGTAAAACTGTGATAGCATGTTGTTCAAACTATCTTCAACTTGATCCTCATTATATTCACCCAAAGGTACCGCATACATCTGACCTTCTTCATCGATCATCCACTGAACATGGCACGCTTCATCGCATTCAATCTCCACTGACTGGCTGTCTTGATTAACGATCACACCCTCAACTTCCTCGGAACATTCGGATGGATCAGATTCTATCGAAGTATCCGTATAGGAAGATTCGTAAACTTCGTCTTCTATTTGGTTATTAAACGCAACAGAACAACTCCCATCTTCTACACTGTTCGGAGGGAAGAAATTCTCAAGGTTGGGCTCATCTTGACCGGGCAACGGACTGATAGAATTACTCGCTCCGCTTGATCTTCCCGAAGACATCTGCACCAAACAAAAGTAAACCTAACCCCCACTTAGTAATATTAAACGAACACACCGGAATCTAATATTGCTTTCTGCGACTTAATATTACTCGATAAAACATTGAAAACACGAGTGCCCATGAGCATCGGTTAACCATGCTCTGATACCACCTTTGTAACGCCCCCGAACCGCTCTATGACCGGACAAGCCACGGGCGACCCGGAAACGTCACGTTGAAGATGATCGACAACAGTTCAGTAGAGGTTCCGGACAAACCGGTTCCTTAACCAATCCATTATTGATCCTCTTCCCACTATGAACATCACTTAGGCTTGCCAACCCTTGTGATATCCTAGTGTTGAGCGACCCGGACGAGGTCTTATATCATAGATCACTCGGATTTGTTTCCGATAAAATCTTTCATACTTAGTGTATACGGCTTATACTTGCAAAAGGTTACCAAATGCGTATTTTATTCGGATCCTTGTTAAAATTTACATAATAACAAGTAGTTTTGCAGAAGCAATGTAAATACCCTATTTCTGGCAATTTCCTAGTGTTCGTCTTCCCTTAAAGGTTTTCCCGCTACGGTTGCCTGCAAAACAAGTAGAGTCATGAGTAATCTAAGATTACTCAGTGAGCTAGGTAGTACTCTAACACGCATAAGGTAACTCTCTACAAATCAACCTAATTCATCAAGTAAACAATCATATCAGAGATCGCGGAACACGCAGCAAGCATCGTTATCATCAAGTAAACATATAGTCTAACAATGATTTATGCATCCGAAAGTCTAGACACTTGAACCTAAGGGCCCAATACTATGTTCCTCGTACACCACTTCTTCTCAAGATGAACCCACAAAGGGTACCAGCAGGAGATACCATACTTATGCATCGTCATGCATTACCCGGCCTAGGTCCCGGGTCTTATGTCATTTTGGTGTAAGTGATCAGCTGAGGATCAAGACTTACATGACATGCCGCCAAGGAGGAACAGAAGTACTATAGTCTAAGTATGCTTAAGGTATCGGGTAAACCTGAATACCACATAAATAGACATTAATAACATCATGCATCATTACATTTAACAAGTACAGAACGTTTCTAAGAGTCAATCACGATCACTTAGTAGTTCAGCACAAGTACAGCATGTAATCACACGAGGGTAAAGTCAATTCATCAAGTAAACTTAGATTCGTTCAGTTCATCATGTAAACCTAGCATCTGTTCAATCATTAATCGTTATCATGCATGCATTCATCGTATCTAAAGCCTAGCTCTAGAGATTCATGCATACTACACGCAATTCTACAACAACTCACGAAGAATTTGGCAGTTGGTGGGGTTTCACGGTCGTAGACACGGATTCCCTCAATCACGGACTGTGTTTCTCGATCACCGGCGACGATTTTTCCGATCACAAGTACTTCTCTCGATCACCAACGATTTTCTCTCGTGCTTTTAAATTCCTTTCGCTCCAAAATGAAAAATGAGCGGAGGAAAGTCTCTATTTATAGCCAAGGGTAGAAGCCCATGCATGGCCGTGTACGGACGTGTGTCCGGACAGCTGCCGCGGTCATGCGCGGACAGATGGTACGGACGACGTGACGGTGACACGTGACGACAGGTGGTGACAGGTGGCCAGTGCAGACTTCGGCTCCAAGCTTGGTTGCTTGAGCCGCAAGCAAGCCAAACCCGGTCCGTGTTTGTCCCGCGGTACGGTCGGCTCTCGTCCCGCGGTACGGTCGTTTCGTCCGATCGACGAATCTCTCGACCGAAATCAATAATTCCTCGTACCACTTCCTCCCATTCTTCATAATATTCCATTTCGTTCGGCAAAGACTCGGATACGCACGACAAATTCGGTACGGAATCACCCGATCACCGATAAATGCCTTGCGGTACGTTTGGATACGTTTGGATAGACGAGTCCGTCGTATGGATCGATTTTTCCTCGAAGCTTTCTCGAACATAACTCCTTCTTGAGGTATTTTAAGACTTTGCATCGCAGAAAATTGCATCGACATCGATGATTTTACAAAGTTGACTCGGGACTTATGATTTCCTTGGCCATCTGTACGTTTGGATACGTCCGCGTACGTACGGATACGTCCGGGTATGTCCGGATACGTACGGTTACGTATGGATACGTCCGACTTCAATCTTTTCTCGTCCGAATCTTTCTTTTGCTCGACCGAATCCTTTTGTTTTCCATCCTTAGTGAATTCCTTCTCTTTCTGAGTTCTTCTTTGAGCTTCCGTCAATGAATCTCGCACGGTCACTTACCCCTTAATGAGGGTCACTACACCATTGGTGACCAGTTGTCATACCAGAACGATGTGTAGTGGCCATTGTTTACGTCAACTTTATGCATTTCTCTCGCAACTTCTCTATACTTGACCTAAGGTAAACCGCAATTACGAGAGAAACAAATAAAGAAATAAAATGACCTAAAATTTGACCTAAGGTTGCGGATTATTACTGTTCCATACCGAGCCACTTGGTGAAGTTGTCAAACTCAGTGTAGTCACTGTCCGATATCATAGTCTGGTACCACGCTTTTTCTGCTGCTTTGATCTTCATTGTCTCCTCCTACAAGAAGAAGAAGATTAATCACACAAGCCATCTAATATACACCAGAGATTCTAAGTTACTAAGAAAAAAGAGAGAATATTCAGACTCAACGTCTTCCAATCAAATATATAAACCAATAAGCAGCAGTGAATCATAAATCTCTAAGAGAAGAGGAGAAAAGTTACTACCTTTGAGATGGGTTTTCTCTTCTTTTCGAGCTTCTCCTTTTCGACTTTACTCCTTCAGCTTCAGCCAACAGTGACATCCTTCTAGGCTTCTCGCAGTCTTCGCATACGGGTTAAGCTTCAACATCACATTCAAATTCTTAAGAGGATTCTTCTTCAACACAACTATCTTCACATCCATCTCACTCGGTCAAACAACACTCTGAACCTCATCAGAATTAATAATCCTAACCAAATCAGCATTCACCATCTTCGCCCCAAGTAAAACATAACCTTTCTTAAGAGAAATTTAACCATTGACGGCTCGCCGGTTCGAGTGACGTTTGAGACAAAACTAATATTATATATTGTGGTTTCGGGTCTGAGGAGATTACGGGCATTGGCCCAGAACCTCCTAGTATTCAAAAAAAAAACATAACCTTTCTTCATCTTCGACGGCTTCTCAAACGAACCATAAACCGATTCCAACTTCTCGAAAGCCGATTTAGTCCACACAACAAATCTACCTAAATGACCACCAGGAGCTAATTTAAGCAAACTCAATCTCTCTACATGACACAAATCAATCCCAGGAATGTTCCTAAACGCTTTAACAACCTTAGCTCCTTCATTTCCATACACAATCAACGAACCTTTTCGGGAAACATACCTACGATTCCTCATTTTACCTACACCAGATCTAATCCCAATACTATCTTTAGCCTTCTCTGCATCAGCATAAGCACAATATTACGATTCCTTATTTTACCTTTTTTTGTTTTAAGTAAAAGAGGAAAACAATGATTTTACTAGATGCTAGACTCAAACCTAACCTTGATTTATGTGACGAGACATCTACTCACTCACTCAAACAAGCCTAACCTTGATCACATTTACTTGGTTTCGTCTAACTACAACTACAATATAAACATTAAATTTGCATTTGAATGCATGAACATATATATTAAAGGATGAAAAACTTAAGCGACTAAATCGGTTTTACTTTTGATTGAACTTTCAACATTGTATGAATTAGTTCAGTAGATTGTGTGCCTATATAACTCTAATTCCAGTAGTCCAATCGAAGATAAGTTAATACGCTACTAGTCGTTACTCGTTAGCATATGTGAGAAACCCTAGCCTTAGGTTTACCGTCTTGCATAACACGTAATAAAATCAACCAATATGGTAACTTGTGATAGTCTCTTTTATAAGGATCATTTTTTTAAAAAAAATCGTTAATTACACAATAAAGTACAATAGTTTGATTTACTAAGAACAGACGCATTTTCTATGTTTTGTTGAATTAAAGACATATAAAATGCAAATCTATGAGATATTTCTAACTCTTAACTCAATACCGTTTGTTGCTCTATTGCTGTTCTCAGGCATCTCTCGAGAACACAAACATTTCTCTATGTCGTTGATGTACGAGTCGGGGTCTCGTTTTAGAAACTCTTTCCACAAATCTTTCCCTTTTGTCTTCCATAGGAAACATAATGTGAATTTTCCGAGTGCTAGAACGCACACAACAAACACAACAAGAAACAGAAACCAGAAACTGCGTACGCCGAGCTGTATAGAGGTAACAGATGGATTTGAATCTGAATTGGTAATTGGATCAGGACAACTTTGTTCTTTCTTATTGAACCATGCGTGCTCGAGCTCCATCGCCTTTGGAGACTCTGCTACTTTTAAGATGGCCCTTGAAACATCGGCCACTAGAGGTGATCCGATTGGAAAAACCTGCGAAAAAAGGACTTATGATTTCTCACCATCTAATGCAACTTTTTCAGAAGTTTTGTTATGAGAACTTACAAAGCCGAATCCATCAACATTGAAGGGTTCTTCAACCATTTTGTAAGTGTTGCAATATTGTCCAAGAAAGAGTCTCAAGTAAGGTATTCCCAAGAAAGCTGCAGAAATACCACCCCTTTTTGGTCCTTTTTTCCAGAAGCTCGTCGCATTCTTCAGCGGTATCAAAAGGCACAAGGCTAGATTGTGCGAAACCTGATTCATTAAGCTTTCCAAGGATGAAGGATGTTCTCTGATAACCGACTGTTCTCCTTTATGAAGCAAGCTACTCATGCTGGTTATGGTTGGATTTAGTTGTTGTGATGTCAAAAGCGACGCCAAGCTAGCTGTATAACTCTGAGTTAACACAAGAACGATGAAGTACCATGTTACAACAAGGCCCTTGCCCCGAAACTAAGCACTCTTTCTCCTGCTGACAACAACTCGAGAGTAAGCATCAAACAAGGTAATATATCGAAACATATATAAGTTGAGATGTAAAGGGAGGAGATTGAATGTACTTGGAGCAAAAACCATGGTAGAGAAGGCAAACCAGAAGATGGTACTAGCTTGGTAATTAGGCGGTCCACGGAAGTCCAGATTAAACCTATGTTCAAGAGTCCAAAACAGTAATTCCAACAAGGAAGAAAAAGACTAAGGATGTCAACCAAAGTTCGATTGACAAAGGTTTCCAGAAACTGAATATGTCTCTTTTCACTTCGTCTCTCATCGGGACGATCATTCCAACACTTGATTTAATGAATGGGAGAGTGAAGTCAACGTAAGAGGACCTGTTCGCCAGTATGGTTGTATCTCCCACCACCGCATCATATCTCTGCGAAGGAAAACAAAATAAAAGTAATTCACTAAGATAGTTTTGCAAATGCTATTTAATTTTGAGGGGTGATTAATGTATGATCGTACTCACCCTGAGGTACACTTGCTGGACCAAGTCGTTGTGATTACCGGCTGGTTTACCGTCAGGTTTTTCAAAAGGAACGAACTCATAAGAGACGTCATAAGGCATTGCTTGAATCACAGCCCCTTGTGACCTTCACGAGATCAGTGAAACCGATTCTCTTGGGAACTCCAATGCGCAACTTCTTCCCATTAGTCGGGATCTCCCATCCTTTGGGAACAGAATTAGCCTCTCCAGGCCATATTATCTGTTTAAGATGATCTTGCCAAGTGGATAAAGTACCTAGGCTTCGTGGTTTTTGGTCAAGTTTCTTCACAAGACCAATTCCCTCCGTCCAGAATCCTATTGACCTTTCTCCGGTTCCGATCATATTGACAATTTCAAACACCGATGGTTGCACGAATCATTGTCTGGTTTTTGAAACTCATTCCGTAAGCCATCATCTGGTTTGGCCTTTTTTTTTTTTTTTTGATAAATATGTAAATATCATTTGGAATGAAATGTTTAGGTAATTAGGCTTAACAAAATATTTGTTACCTTGCCAAAAAAAAAAAAAAAAAACAAGGGAACAAATGAGATTTAAGAAAGAAAAAAAGCTCATCGAATCCACAACTGCATAAGTTTACCAAACTCATACTACTGTACAAATAGTTTTCAAGAAATTGAAACTTCGAAAGTGAAAACACTCAAGTTTGCTATCTGTACTATAAAAGAATTAGAATTCGATTCTATGTTTTTTTTTTTTTGGTACGACGAATTCGATTCTTTATTTGCATTTACGTTTAGATTTTTCGAAAAGTGAGTTTATTGTAAAACTGAAAAATGTTTTGTATTTTTAACAATGTAAAACAAAATTTCATGTAAATGCAAAAAAAAATTGTGTGTAGGCAAAATTTCTCTTGAAACCACAAACAAAAATCACGAGAGGAAACTATTTGTATATCAGTAGCAGTATCACGTGCATTTATGCTATGACTTAATTCCCCAAAAAGGAAAAGCAAATCCAAACAAATCACTACAAAGCGCAAAACAGCAAAATATGAATAGTAGTAACTTGATAGGCTCTCTTATATGGATCAACTGTTTCCGAAAATCGTTATAAATATATACAACAAAGTACAATAGTTTGGTTTAAACTGAAGACAGTCTTCGTCATGACTCTTGAGAGATGATGTTTACTTGTGCCTTCCTAACTCTTAACTCATTACCGTTGTTTGTCTGGTTGGTGGCATTATTGCTGTTCTCAGGCATCTGTCGACTTGATGAACACGGACATTTCTCTACGTGGTTGATGTACGAGTCGGTGTCTCGTTCTTGAAACTCTTTCCACAAATCTTTCCCTTTTGTCTTCCATAGGAAACAGAATGTGAATTTTCCGAGTGCTAGAACGCACACAACAAATACAACAAGAAACAAAAACCAGAAACTGCGTACGCCGAGCTGTATAGAGGTAACAGATGGATTTGAATCTGGATTGATAACTGGATCAGGACAACTTTGTTCTTTCTTCTTGAACCATGCGTGCTCGAGCTCCATTGCTTTTGGAGACTCTGCTACTTTTAAAATGGCCCTTGAAACATCGGCCACCAGAGGTGATCCGATTGGAAAAACAAAGCCGAATCCATCAACGTTGAAGGGTTCTTCAACCATTTTATAAGCTTTGCAATATTGTCCAAGAAAGAGTCTCGAGTAAGGTAATCCCAAGAAAGCTGCAGAGATACCACCCTTTTTTGATCCTTTTTCAGAAGCTCGTCGCATTCTTCTGCGGTATCAAAGGGCACAAGGCTAGATTGTGGGAAACCTGTTTCATTAAGCTTTCCAAGGATGAAGGATGTTCTCTGATAACCGATTGTTTCTCCTTTATGAAGCAAGCTACTCATGCTGGTTATGGTTGGATGTAGTTGCTGTGATGTCAAAAGCGACGCCAAACTGGCTGTGTAACTCTGAGTTAACACAAGAACGAGGAAGTACCATGTGACAACCAGGGCCCTCGCCCAGAAGCTAAACACTCTCTCTCCTAGGACAGCAATTCGAGGATAAGAATCAAACATGGTAATATATAGAAACATAGATAAGATGATAATGTAAGGGGTGGAGATTAAATGTACTTGGAGCAAAAACCATGGTAGAGAAAGCAAACCAGAAGATGGTACTAGCTTGGTAATTAGCCGGTCCACGGAAGTCCGGATTAACCCTATGTTCAAGAGTCCAAACAGAGATTGAAACAAGGAAGAAAAAGACCATAGTTCGATCGACAAAGGTTTCAAGAAGCTGAATTCGTCTCTTTTCACTTCGTCTCTCATTGGGACGATCATTCCAACACCTGATTTAATGAATGGGAGAGTGAAGTCAACGTAAGAGGACCTGTTCGCCAATATTGTTGTATCTCCCACGACCCCATCGTACCTCTGAGAAGGAAAAGAAATAAAAGTAATTCACTAAGATAGTTTTGCAAATGCTATTTTAGAGGGATGATTAGTAAGTGATCATACTCACCCCGAGGTACACTTGCTGGACCAAGTCATTGTGATTACCGGCTGGTTTACCGTCAGGTGTTTCAAAAGGAATGAACTCATAAGAGACGTCATAAGGCATTGCTTGAATCACAGCCTCAAAAAAATCTATGCAGAAACCTGTGACTACAGTTGAATTGGTGATAGGATCCCTTGTGACCTTCACGAGATCAGTGAAACCGATTCTCTTGGGAACTCCAATGCGCAACTTCTTCCCATTAGTCGGGATCTCCCATCCTTTGGGAACAGAATTAGCCTCTCCGGGCCATATTATAAGCTTAAGATGATCTTGCCAAGTGGATAAAGTACCTATGCTTCGTGGTTCTTGGTCAAGTTTCTTCACAAGACCATTTCCCTCTGTCCAGAATCCTATTGATCTTTCTCCGGCCCCGACCATATTGACAATTTCAAACACCGATGGTTGCAGTTGCCCGCTGACAAAACGGAAGTCTCCTGCAAGTCCTCTGAATTGAACTTTTGAGAGCGTCTCGAGAAGCTTTGGACCGAATTGAGATAAACCAAGAGCATCAAGTTCGGAAACATTTCTCCCTGTATCCACATTACTGAAAGTCATGTTATTTATTCCAGCTTCTTCAATGGCCATGGCCAATGCAGTGGTAGCATCATAAGCCCACAATCCATAGACATTCAGCTCCATCTGTGGGAATCTCCTCTTCCACCGTGATCTAAACATGTCTAGATCTTTGGATTTTTGAATATAAGTTTTAATACCCAATACCCCCTCCATAGCCTCAATACCCGTCTCATTTATCGACCTTAAGCCATCGATAACTCCATTGGTAAGGATCCAGACATATCCTGGTTTCATCAAACCAATCTCCTTTGCTTTAATGAAGAATCTTGAGGCAAGAGAAGAGGACATGTGGACAATAAACACTCTTGTGGGCATGGTCATCATCTTAAGAAGTTCTACGGAGATTTCTTGATCCGTGGCATTGGGAACGATAACGGATCTATGAGGTATCCGAACATTAATATCTTGTAATGCATCGGTGAGACGAGGCATTATACCTTCTCCGAAGGTGTTGTCGATGTAAACTGGCACAACTTCTCTCCACCCAAACAATTTGATGATAGATTTTATGGCCTGCACTTGAGAAGAGTCTTCGTACGTAGCACGCAAGAAGTATCGGCTACGAAGGGAGTAAGAAATGGGCTTGTTGCAGAATAGGAAACAACAGGAACCTGAGATTTTTGGCCAATCTCGATCAAGAAATGAGCTTGCATAGATGTCCATGGGCCCAAAATCGCTTTCACTTGCTTGTTCTTTATCAACTCAATAGCTATGACAGTATCAAAACCAAGAAAATTCGGGTTAAGTATGTCAAACGTGAACATAGTATATAAATATAGTGAGAGTAACATATATATAGTAAAACATCTATAAATTAATACTCGGTAAATTAATAAACACGAGAAATAATAAATTTTGTCGGTTCAGAGTCGGGCCAATGTAAAAATAAACTAAAGTCGATAAAATAATAAGATAATAATTTTTTGAAATCTCTATGTAAAAATATGATCCTAATAATATCAAAAATTAATATATATGTATATATATATATATATAATACTTTTAGTGTTTTCACAAAAACAAAATAGCCAAAAATTTCTGTAAATTTTGAATATGCATAATTTTATTTCAATAGTCATATAGGCTGCTCAAATACAACAATTGATTTCACTATTTATAAATTTGAATATATGAATTCTATAATCTTTGTTATTTATTGTCCAAAAAATTGTTTTTTCTAAATATTAAATGTTCAAGTCTAAACTACAAAATTAATAATTTCCAAACATTAATTTTATTTAAATCAAAATTTTTAACTCTTATTTTTAAAATTAGTTTTAACAATTAAAACAAAACTTTCTATAAATTAATATCACTACAAATTAATAAAATATTATGGTCCAACATTATTAGTTTATATAGAGGTTTTACGTATAGAGAGAAAGCGAGATGAGAAGAGAAGATACCTGCAGTTGCGGCACCAACAACGTCCTTTTTGGAGTCACCAACGTTGACGACAAGCCTTGTCTGAAACTGGGGACGGGAAGAGTAGAAATCAGCAAGAGACATGTTGATGCAGCGCATGGCAACCTCCGAGTGTGAAGTACCGACATCTGTTACAACACCGACGTTGACTTGGGTTTTGCCGTTGTTCTGTCCTCTGCTGATTTCCAAGCAGAAGAAAAAGAAGAGCAAGAAGCAGAAGAAAAGCTTCTGATTTCTCATTTGGGGATTTTTCTTTTCTTCTTTTAGATGCTTTGCTTATTGGTTTGTGTTTGCACACATATATAGCAAAGTTTTGGATAGTTACTGAACTTTTTAATATCTCATCCTAATAAGCAATGAAACATCATGATAAAGATAAGCCAATACATTTCAAAGTTCGCAGCAATTTTTAAAACAAAAATTTCTGTATTGAGGGGTTTGTGTTTTGTAGGAGATGACTTAGCATCATATATTGTAACAAGATAATGTAAAGTATACATTTGACGTAAAATCAAAACATAAAATATTGTACTAGTAGATTGAAAAAGTAAAATAAAAATATACTTTATTGTGTTTATACAATTTACTTGTAATTTTCTTGTTGCATGAAAGCAACTAATTAAATATTTTCATAATATTGCAACAAAATAATGTTATGTATACATTTGACGAAAAATTAAAACATAATATATAGTACTAGTTGATTGAAAGTAAAATAAAAATATACTTTATTGTGTTTAGACCATTTACTTGGAATTTTCTTATTGCAAGAATAGATTACTTGTATTGAGCAACTAAAAATATGACCTTTCATTTCTATGAAAGTCCAGCAAATAAATTTCAGTGGTAGAGTAATGTTGGAAGTAATCTAAGACTGGACAATTAATTGATTTAAAATGAAAATAATCTTTGGTAAAACGTCGACTGGTAAAGCAACAAGTCTTGTGACTTTGATCTCAAGAAACAAAATAAATAAAAATAAAAAAATTGTCTAAGGGTTGCAGATTTTACTGCAGTTAGCCACTTTGTGAAGTTATCAAACTCAGTGTAGTCGATCACTGATCTAATACCAGGTTTTTCCTGCTGATGTGATCTTCAATGCCTCTTCCTGCAATACACAATGAGATTAAGAAGATGATAAATAATACATCTCCATCTAAAACATGATTATCTATAATGCCATACATTATGAGTTTACGAAAAAAAATCTAGAAGAAAACAGTAAGATGATACACTAAATTTACGTGTATATTTAATTAGGTGAGACAAAAGAATATATCTATAGACTTTAACTTAACTACTTAATAAATAAAACAAACAAAAGAATTGTCAATTACCAAAATGCTTTACTATTATTTTTTTTACCTCGATATATTAAAAATTACATGTTCCAATAATAATTTTTTGTTTAAATTAATTTAATTAGTTCTCTTACGATAAAATATATTCAAATTATTCCCACGTATCAAAATATGATCCATCTTTTTTTCTGAAAATCGTTATGTACCTGTTTTGGAACATCTATTTTTTTTAAGAAACACGTATTTGTTATCCAATCCATTACAATAGTTTTGTTTAATAAAATTACAGGTTTTTTTGTTTGTTTAGAGTAAAGACAGTCTTAAACCCTTTTAATAATAAAATTAAAAAAGAAAGAAAGAATAAAGATAGTCTTGGTCTCTTGGACATGAATCTTGAGAAATTCAAACATAATGGTTAGTTGTGTTTTAAACCGATGCATGTCTAGTTTGTTGCTTGACTAATGTTCTCAAGCATGTGTCTCTGAAGTAGCGGAAGCTTTAAGGATAGAACTAGTGATCCGTTGATTCCTCGGAATACCGGAAAACTAGGGTTTCTCGGATCTGTTGATTCCTCAGAATACCAGAAACGAGAGAACGTGAGGAATTCGTTGATTCTCCGCGAATACCGAATCCTACGTCTTCTTATAATCGTTGAGATCTCTCGAGATCTACCGAAAACAAGGATTAGAGAATACTCTTCTCTGAAAAGCTAAAAGCTCTTTAATTTTATTAATCAATCAATTGAATACAAAAGGAGGCCTTAACGGCTTATTTATAATAAAACATAAGAAAACCCTAGAATATTCTAGAAACACTAAAAGATAAAGATTAAAATAATTAATATAATTAAAATATAAATAAATGGGAATTATCCTAATTCTACGCTGCATCAGGTCTCGCCGGCCAAGAAAAGATTCGTCCTCGAATCTTGTATCTCGCTGCATCAGCTCTCGCCGGCCAAGAAAGATTCGTCCTCGAATCTTGTATATGCGCTGCATCAGCTCCCACCGGCCAAGAAAGATTCGCCCTCGAATCTTCAACATCATAGGAGATCTTCCAATATCCATCTTCATCTCCATCTTCTGATTTTGCCCGATTTTCGCACGAACCAGATCTGACCCGAATTTTGCACAGATAATTTTCTGTACGAAATCTGCACAGATCGGATCTTCCATAACTTCTGCAGAAAACCCTAATTTTGCACGGATACGATTTCGCCCAGATTTTACACGAGTCAGATTCTCGAAAGCATCTTCTGGGAAAACGTAATCAATATGTATGACATCATCTGCATATGTGTCATAGATTGGATCACCATAGATCTCTCTGTAGATCTCATGGTTTTCTTCTTCTTCAGAAAAGAGGCTTTCGCCTGTGATAGGATAGATGCTACCAAACATCATGACAAACAGAATCGAGCTCTGATTAAGAAATCAAAGCACCAGCTCTGATACCAACTGAAGTAGCGGAAGCTTTAAGGATAGAACTAGTGATCCGTTGATTCCTCGGAATACCGGAAAACTAGGGTTTCTCGGATCTGTTGATTCCTCAGAATACCAGAAACGAGAGAACGTGAGGAATTCGTTGATTCTCCGCGAATACCGAATCCTACGTCTTCTTATAATCGTTGAGATCTCTCGAGATCTACCGAAAACAAGGATTAGAGAATACTCTTCTCTGAAAAGCTAAAAGCTCTTTAATTTTATTAATCAATCAACTGTATACAAAAGGAGGCCTTAACGGCTTATTTATAATAAAACATAAGAAAACCCTAGAATATTCTAGAAACACTAAAAGATAAAGATTAAAATAATTAATATAATTAAAATATAAATAAATGGGAATTATCCTAATTCTACGCTGCATCAGGTCTCGCCGGCCAAGAAAAGATTCGTCCTCGAATCTTGTATCTCGCTGCATCAGCTCTCGCCGGCCAAGAAAGATTCGTCCTCGAATCTTGTATCTCGCTGCATCAGTCTCACTCGACGAACACGGACATTTCTCTACCTTGTTAATGTAGGAATCATTGTCTGGTTGTTGAAACTCTTCCCACAAATCATTCCCTTTGCTCTTCCAAAGGAAACATAATGTGAATTTTCCGAGTGTTAGAATGCACACAACAAATACAACAAGAAATAGAAGCCAGAAACTGTCTACACCGAGCTGCCGAGAGGTAAAAGATGGATTTGGATCTGGATTAGTGACTGGGTCTGGACAACGTTCTTCTTTCTTCTTGAACCATGCGCGCTCAAGCTCCATCGCCTTTGGTGACTCTGCTACTTTTAAGATAGCCCTTGAAACATCGGCCACCATAGGTGATCCGATCGGAAAAACCTACAGAAAATGTGAATTATAATCTCACCAAATCATGTACCTTTCACAGATATTTTGTCTTGGAAACTTACGAAGCCAAATCCATCGATATTGAAGGGTTCTTCAACCATTTTATAAGTGTTGCAATATTGTCCAAGGAAGAGTCTCAAGTAAGGTATTTCCAAGAAAGCTGCAGACACACCGCCTTTTTCTGGTCCTTTCCTCAAAAGCTCGTTGCATTCTTCAGAGGTGTCAAAGGGAACAAGGCTAGATTGCGAGAAACCTGTTTCTTTAAGCTTTCCAAGAATGAAGGATGTTCTCTGATAACCCACTGTTTCTCCTCTCTCAAGCAAGCTACTCATGCTGGTTATGGTTGGATGAAGTTGTTGTGATGTCAAAAGCGATGCCAAACTGGCTGTATAACTCTGAGTCAACACGAGAACAACGAAGTACCATGCGATAACCAGGAACCTAGCCCCGAAGCTAAACACTCTTTCTCCTGCGGACAACAAATAGGGAGTAAGCATCAAGAAAGGTGATTATATAGAACCATATATCAATGTATGCTAAAATGTAAAGAGGGGAGATTCAAAGTACTTGGAGCAAAAACCATGGTAGAGAAGGCAAACCAGAGGATAGTACTAGCTTGGTAATTAGCAGGTCCACGGAAGTCCGGGTTAACCCTATGTTCAAGAGCCCAAACAGTAATTCCAACAAGGAAGAAGAAGACGAAGGAAGTAAACCATAGATTCCATGACAAAGGTTTCAAGAAAGTGAAACTGTCTCGTTTCACTTGGTCTTTAATGGGGGCGATTAATCCTACGCCTGATTTAAAGAATGGGAATGTGAAGTCGACGTAAGCGGACCTGTTCGCCAGTATGGTTGTATCTCCCACAACAGCATCATATCTCTGCGAGAGAGTGAAGAAAGGAAAATTTCACTAAGATGGATTTTAAAAATATATATATTAAGGGATGATTAGTGGATGATCTTGCTCACCCCGAGGTACACTTGGTGGACCAAATCATCATAATTACCGGCTGGTTTACCATTGGGTTTCTCGAACGGAATGAACTCATACGAAACGTCATAAGGCATTGCTCGAATCACAGCCTCAAAGAAATCAATGCAGAAACCTGTGACTACTGGTGAATTGGTGATAGGATCCCTTGTGACTTTCACAAGATCGGTGTAACCGGTTCTCTTTGGAACCCCAATGCGCAACTTCTTCCCATTTGTCGGCATCTCCCATCCTTTGGGAACAGAATCAGCCTCTCCAGGCCATAGAATGTTTTTAAGATGGTCTTTCCAAGTAGATAAAGCGTTCATGCTCTTCGGTTGCTGGTTTAGTTTCTTTACAAGACCATTTTCCTCGGTCCAGAATCCTATCGACCTTTCTCCATTTCCAATCACATTAACAATCTCAAACACCGATGGTTGCAGTTGTCCCTTGATAAAACGGAAATCTCCTGCAAGTCCTTTGAACTGAATTGTTGAGAGTGTCTGGAGAAGCTTTGGACCATATTGAGATAAAGCAAGAACTTCAAGTTCAGAAACATTCCTTCCAAGATCCACATTACTGAAAGTCAAGTTATTTGTTCCAGCTTCTTCAATGGCTATCGCCAGTGCGGTGATAGCATCATAAGCCCACAATCCATAGACATTCAGCTCCATCCGTGAAAATTTCTTCCTCCAACGAGATCTAAAATTTTCAAGTTCTCTGGATTTCTGAATATAAGTTTTAACACCCAATACCCCCTCCATAGCCTCAATACCTGTCTCACTTATCCAATTCAATTCATCGGTTACGCCATTGGTAAGGATCCACACATATCCTGGTTTCATCAAACCAATTTCCCTAGCTTTAATGAAGACTCTTGAGGCAAGAGAAGAGTACATGTGTACAATGAACACTCTTGTGGGCATAGTCATCATCTTAAGAAGCTCCACAGAGATTTCATGATCTGTGGCATTGGACGCAATGACAGATCTGTAAGGTATTCGAACATTAATCTCTTGTAATGCATCGGTGAGACGAGGCATTATACCTTCTCCAAAGCTGTTGTCGATATAAACAGGCACGGCTTCCCTCCAACCAAACAACTTGATGATAGCTCTTATGGTGTACACTTGAAAGGAGTCTTCGTATGTAGCACGAAAGAAGTATGGACTACGAAGAGAAGTAAGAAATGGGCTTGTTGCAGAGTAAGAAACAACCGGAACCCGGGATTTTTGGCCAATCTCGATTAAGAAATGAGCTTGCATTGAACTCCATGGCCCCAAAATCGCTTTCACTTCATTGTTCTTGAGCAGCTCAAGACCTGTGACAATGCCAAAACCAAGAAACCTTGGTGTTAACGCGAATAGACCGATGATGGTAGTATATATATATGCGGAATGCAGAGAGAGAGAGAGAGAGAGAGAGAGAGAGAGAGAGAGAGAGAGAGAGAGAGAGAGAGAGAGAGAGAGAGAGAGAGAGAGGAGAGAGAGAGAGAGAGAGAGAGAGAGAGAGAGAGAGGAGAGAGAGAGAAGAGAGAGAGAGAGAGAGGAGAGAGAGAGAGAGAGAGAGAGAGAGAGAGAGAGAAGAGAAGAGAGAGAGAGAGAGAGAGAGAGAGAGAGAGAGAGAGAGAGAGAGAGAGAAGAGAGAGAGAGAGAGAGAGAGAGAGAGAGAGAGAGAGAGAGAGAGAGAGGAGAGAGAAGGAGAGCGAGAGAGAGGAGCGAGAGATTACCTGCAGCTGCAGCACCTACAACGTCCTTTTTTGAGTCGCCGACATCGACGACAATCCTTGTCCGAAAATGGGGACGAGAAGAGTAGAAATCTGCAAGAGACATGTTGATGCAGAGCATTTCAATGTCTGAATGCATCATCCCGACATCTGTTACAATACCCACATTGACTTCTGTTTTTTTGTTCTGTCCTCTACTGAGTACAACAAAGAACACAGAGAAGAAGAAGAGCAAGGCGACGAAGATAACTCTCATTTGGGTGTTTCTTTTTAAGTTGTAAATGTTAATTATGAGAAGTGATGATAAGCTCTAAACTTGTGTTGATCTCTATGCATATATATACCCATAATTTTTTTTGATAAGCTGCTGATTTTTATTTTATTTCACATTCTGACCAAGTCCGAGCAAGCATCAAATGTAATAAAGATACGAATCAAATACAATGTCAAAGTTAGTGACCATTTTTAATACAAATGTTTCTTTTTTAAGTAAGTTTCTAGCTTTGTAGGAGACGACTTTTGCATTATATATTGTATTAAAATAAATTTTTGTACATATTCGACGAAAATCTATGCACGTCGTACAGAACTAAAAATATAGTAAAATTCTGTGAACAACTTGATTGAAAGATGTTCTTCTTTTAATTTACTTGTATTGTAAGTAAGAATATGACATGTTCAATAGTCTCAATTCTACGACAGTCGAGCAATAAGATTATTTAATGGGAGAGTTGTGTTAAAAAGAATTTAACACTGGGTAAATTAATTGATTTAATATGACAATTTATCATGGTAAAACGCAGTAACGAGAGAAACAAAACGTAAGGAAACGAGACTGATAAAGCAAGAAAAAAAAAAAGTTGTTCTAACTTAAGGTTGCAGATTTTACTGTTCCACACCGAGCCACTTGGTGAAGTTGTCAAACTCAGTGTAGTCACTGTCCGATATCATAGTCCTGTACCACGCTTTTCCTGCTGCTTTGATCTTCATTGCCTCCTCCTACAAGACAACAAGAAGAAGAAGGTTAATCACACAAGCCAGACAATATACACCAGATATTCTAAGTTACTAAGAAAACAGAGAGAATATTCAGACTCAACATCTTCGAATCGATTACATAAACCAATAAGCAGCAGTGAATCATAGATCTCTAAGAGAACAGGAGAAAAGTTACTACCTTTGAGATGGGTTTTCTCTTCCTCTCAAGCTTCTCGTTTTTCGACTTCACTCTCTCAGCTTCAGCCAACAAAGACATTCTCCTCGCAGTCTTCGCATAAGGGTTAAGCTTCAACATCACATTCAAATTCTTAAGAGGATTCTTCTTCAACACAGCTCTCTTCACATCCATCTCAATCGGTCTAACAACACTCTGAACCTCATCCGAATTAATAATCCTAGCCAAATCAGCATTAACCATCTTCGCCCTAGGTAAAACATAACCTTTCTTCATCTCCGAAGACTTCTCAAACGAACCATAAACCGATTCCAACTTCTCGAAAGCCGATTTAGTCCACACAACAAATCTACCTAAATGACCACCAGGAGCTAATTTAAGCAAACTCAATCTCTCTACATGACACAAATCAATCCCAGGAATGTTCCTAAACGCTTTAACCAACTTAGCTCCTTCATTTCCATACACAATCAACGGACCTTTTCGAGATACATATCGGCGATTTCTCATTTTACCTACACCAGACCTAATCCCAATACTATCTTTAGCCTTCTCTGCATCAGCATACGCACCAATCTGTTGCAAAACCTTAACCGCATCACTAGTTTTCTCAACAGACTCAACATAATCACTAACCACTAAAGGAAACTCAGGAACATTCTCAATCTTATGTCCACGAGCCATCACTAGAGCCGGAACAGACGTCGCAGCAATCGCCGATACAATCGCGTGTCGTTTCAAATTGATATTGACACGTCGATGCCAACGACGGTAAGTCTTCGTCGGAGCAAACATTCGACCACTACGACACATGTTTCCCAAAGCTGCTTGACCGGCGCGGTGAGTACCACCTCCGGCAACACGAGGGATACGTGATACGGCTCGTCCTGTACCCCAAGACTCGGCGGAAGTTTGATGACCGGCGAGTTTTGAGACGGCGTAAGGTTGGCGACTGTTTTTTGATATCTGAGCGTGGACATGGTTCACAAGGTCGGGACGAACTGGTGCTTTCATTACATCGGGAAGAGGTATTGTGGTGGTTTGATTTGTGATCATATCGCCGTCTAGAGATTGGACGGTTACTAGAGGACGGACGGCGGCGACGGCGGAGGACATTTTCGAAGTGTGATTAAGCTTTTAGGGTTTTTGTCGTTTTCCGGAAGAGAAATGGTGGGAGAAGTATATGTAGGGTTTTTCTCTCAAGGGTGTTTTTGTAAAAGCAACTAAATATAACCATATTGCTTCTTCGTCAAGAAAAAGAAGGAAATTAAAAATTAGCAACCATACAATTAATTAGTCAAAATGATTATTCAATTCAGCTTGGTTTTTGATAAATTTGAGTTATGTTTTCTTAACTGGTTTTATAGAGGATAATTGGTGTTAAAAAAAAATCGATGAAAGAAATGTTGACTCTATTGATGGAATGACCGACTAATTGTTGGTGCGATGAAAAATGAAAATGTTCCTTGTAAAGGGAGTCCACTTTCATTGAGAGAAGATGATACGTTTCATAGGATAAGACTGTGCCACGTCAGGAGAAGAGTGTTGACTTGAATAAGGACATGGACAAAGGCAAAGAATAAGAGAAAGACTTGGGTGGAAACGGAGGCTTTGCTATTGAAGGAGTCCAAAACAAATCTGTGCGAGCTTGAACATATAGGCCCAAAGCGGACAATATCATACTGTGAAGAGTTGGATTGGGCTTGGAGAGCCCAATAAATGGTATTCGAACCTAGGTCAGAAAAAAGTGGACCTAGGGGTGTGGGCTAAAGTTCGTTGTGGGAGAAGCCCTCAGATGTGACATGATAAGAAGGTGCCGGGTTAGGGTGCCAATTTTTTCTCGGCCTTGTGATACTCTAAATGCGGTGGTGAAAAATATTAGCTTTGGATCTATGTCAGTCTTAGTGTTTCCAAAACCAGTTGATTTCTCTTCCTCTTGTATTCTATATCTTTGAATTGAGATTTTGTCTTTTCGATTGGCGATAACAGTTTATGGGATTTTCGGTTTTCTAGAGTTTTTCAGCTTGACTTAAAGCAGTTGTAGATAGTGAGGAGTTCGGTGTTGGTAATCTTGTTAATTGGCACTTTGTCGAGGTAAGATATCCACCATTTTATGACAATTTCATAGGTTTAAAACGTTTTCCATGGCTCGTTCTCCTGAATGTGCAAAATTTCGGTTGTGGTGAAACTTTTTTTAGTTGTGCTGTTTTGTTTGTCTTTTAAGATTCTACACTAAATTAGTTGGACCGTGGACGGCTGGACCTATGTCTTCAGATTTTGGATTAATTTTTGATAACAATTCCAATAAATTTATCATATGAAAAATAACGCAGAAAAAAAAAACACGTTGCTTCTCCTCTCTTTTCTCTCTAAAATCTTTTAGAGAAGAGAAACTTACCTCGGTCAGTTTTTGATTCCGGATTTGTCCGGAGTTGTATATACTCTCATCTATGTACGAGTTAAATAATTTCCGATTTTATGTCGAATTCTCGCTACCGGCTACGTCTGGTTTTGTCTCTCGCTCTAGCAAGATTGATCTCTTTTCCAACTGTGCCCGTCGATGTCTCTGTTTTTTCAAAATCCTATCTGATCCCTCCAATCTTTTCGAGGAGTAAGATCTTCGTCACTTCCTTTTGCTCATGAAGTAGGAGCAAAGATCGGACTACATCAAGTTTGGATGTGGTCAGTGGTGGAGCTTCCCTGGAATTGGTGTTGCTCGGAGAATTTCGAAGTGTTTTTCTTTTAATCGATCCGGAAGATTCTCGACGCTTTTGGCTTGGATTTGAGATCAAGAGAAGGGAGGAGGATTCTCATAGCTGCAAGACTGATCGGTGATGGCTAATCGGAATTTCAGCGGTGTCCGTCGAAATTGACGGTGGTGTTTGACGACTTGACGCGTGGTGTTGGGAAGAAAACGTCTTCCACACATATCAACAGCTAAATCATATTCGCATTAATATTCATCTTTTAGTAAAATATGATTTAGTTTTAGGCTTGCGCTATTATTTAATTTGTAATCCGATTTTCTGTAATCTGTCTTTTTGGGTTTTATCAATGAAATCAAATGTCCGACAAAAAATAATAACGCAGGTTTTTCACAATTTTTAGGAAAATGCTACATTTTTCTAAGATAACTCAATTGGATAATATTTTACAACCCAAAGTTTTGAAATCCCATACTTTCTTTAAAGCCCAAAAGCCCAATAGAAAATGAAGGAAGACACAAAATTCTTTTTTCTCTCACAACTTCTATCTAACTTGGGTTAACTACAACGGTACATGAGAGTGATGAGAAATCTTCTGTGACATTTCGTTTTGACAAAAGAGGTAACGGAGACGACGACGGTTTTGACTACATCTTCTATTCACCGCAACTATTAGGGTTTAAACTTGTAATCCAAAGTTGGGTACAGACTCTTCTTCCCCCTTTTGGTACCAAATTGAATATTCTATGTGATTCGATTCTCTGTTTCCATGGCAAATCTGTGTTTATGAATTCGAGAAAATAAGATCAGCTTTAGATTAGTTTCATTGGTATTGTTATGTGTTTACTTTTTTTCTCTGTTTGTGTTTGTTTACCGTTTACTAAACCCTAGAAAGCTTAAATTTTTCTTACAGATTTTAGGAAATTGCAGCGATCAGCAAAACATGGCACCGAGAAAGAAGACATCATCGATGATTTGGGTATATACTCTTTCTCTCCTTTTGGTACAAAATTCGAAAAAAGTTCTAATTTTTATCTGTTTCAATAGCAAGATTTCAGTTTTATGAAGGTTTCATTTTTCTTTCAGGTTAAGAAATCGCAGCAATCAGCAAAAATGGGAATGCTAGACTCTTCTCTTCTCCCAGATTGTGTACGTTTGCTACTACTTCAAACTATATGAGTTTGAAAGTATTGTTTTTGAGTGACTCTGGAAATTTGATTTTGATTTTGACTCTAGAAACTGTAAATTTTCTTGTAGGTTTCAAAATTGCACTTGTCTCCATCAGCAAAAATAGCACAACCTGCAATGAAAGATCAGACATTTCTCATGGGAGACTGGTCTCTTCTCCCTGAAGAGCTACTGCACATGATCTCCAAGTATCTGGAACATGAGGACTATTGTTTCGATGTTGTTCATGCTCGCTCTGTTTGCAGTTCTTGGCGATCTATCTTCCCGTTTCCTTCTTGCCTATTACGCCAAAGTTATTCTCTTCCTTCCTTTGCCAAGTTCCCTCGGAAAACAAAAGACTTGTGCACCCTGGAAAAGATCCCTTTGTTATTGTTTAGAGTTCGTGCTCCTGCTGCTGCGTCGCATCATGAGTATTTTATGGGAGATTTGGGCCCGGATAAGTCAGAAGATCGTATGGAGCTTCCATCTCCTCTTCAATGTTCAGTGAAATATAAGATACCAGGAACTGATCCAACCTTAATGAACATGCTAGACTGTCAGATCATCCCTCTGGGCCATCAGTATAGGATGATCGGTTGGTATCCTGACTCATTGGCAACAAGTTTCAGAGGCGTGGCTGTTCTTCCGCTAAACAAGAAGGGAGGAGGAGGAGGAGGATTTGTTGTGCTTATCGGCTATTCTCATGGTTTGTTGGTGTTAAGAAGTGCTGAAAGGAGATGGATGCGGCTTGAGCAATCCTCAATAGCTGACTGCTCGGATATCGTCACTTTTAGAGGCAGATTTTTTGTAGTCTTTCTTAACGGGGACATTTTCGTTATCGATCCTTATTCTCTGGAAGCAACTCCCCTTATGCCACCGGAGCTTCTGAACTCTGGTTCATGCAATTATCTGGTTCCATGTGGCAATGATGAACTTTTTCTGGTTGTGGTAATCATCCCAAGATCGTCTGTGTTAGATTTTGGTAAGTTAACATGTAGAGTGAGTAAGCTAGATGAGGAGGTTGGTGAATGGGTTGAGGTCAGTGATTTGGGAGACCGTGTTTTGTTTATTGGAAACCAGGGAAATGTATCTTGCTCGGCTAAGGAGCTTCCTGATGGTTGTGGTGTCAGTGGGAACTCAATTTTGTTCACTGATGGGCTTGGCTTTAGAAATTTTGCCTATAAATATGGAGTACAAACAGGGAATGCGGAGGACGACCTCAGTCTTTGGAGATTCTCAAGAGAGAATCATGTGGATGTTCTCAATAAATCTCCTCCGGTGGTGGCTCTCCAGATTGCGCGCTAAAAGCCGTAAAATCTTACCTTGGATACCTGAGACATCTTTTTGGTTTCGTTTTTTAGATCAAAACAATTTTTTGCTCCCTGAAGTGTTCTTGAACTTTGCTCCTTGTGAATATGTGTTTGGTGGTCAAACTTGTTTACTAGTGTCCAAGCTAAGACATGACATGCAGACACATTGTTCTCCTCTTCGATCAAAAGGGTAAGATAGAGATTTACGAAATCTCCTGTTTTGTGTGCTTTAAAATATTACTCTTGTTTCTCTTTTGTATTTGGTGTCCACTCAAAACAGTGATGGAAATCGTCGTAAGAACATAGATGATATGATTTTAGACGTTTTAAAGCAACCTGCTTGCATGTGAGTTTGAGTTTGCGTGAGACTGTTGCAGCACCTAAAACTGGTCTAACAATTGTTATTTGTTAACAGCAGTGTAAGAACATGATTGTTGTTAAAGCACAATAGCTAAGAAGTGATCAAAGTTCTGATCACTTGCCACAATAACAGCTAAAAACTATAAATTCTTCAATTTCTCTTTCTAAACTATTATTGCATTACTAAAGAAGCTTGACGATGGAGTATGAAACGAAGTGGTTACATGAACATCGATGCTGACTGGTTTGGTTTCCATTATCTGAGAGTGAAATTAGACAAAGACAGAGAGAAAGATAATTCGTAAGAGATTGGGACAAGAGAGAGATTGTTGAGAAATATTATGAAATTGTGGAGAAGTCAAGTGTAATGTTATGTGTTTATAACTTTATATAAGCTTAAGCCAGTTCCTGTTGTTTCTCGGTTTAAGCTCACTATACCGAATCTATTGGATTAATTTGGGCAAAAAGTATGATTCAAAATTCTACTACTTTTATTAATGTTTTCAAAAAGAAAACTACAACAACAAAAAAAAACAAAGGAAACAAGAAAGCTAAAAAGAAAATAAAAACAAATGATATAAAGTCCAAATCAGCCAAAAGAGCCACGACATTTGACTGAACCACACAAACAAATCTTCTTGCCTTTATAAAGTATTTCATCTTCTCCATTCTTCTCCACACAAGAAACTCCATAGTCATATGTTAACTCTGTCATTGGAGGAATATGCTTCATTGCAAAAAGTCCAATACGAACATATATAACACCATTGTCTTCATATTCAATAGGCTGCCAA